CTTAACATCATTTTGAAAAAGGTAGATCGAGAAACTAGAAAACAATATGAACAAATGATCGCATCAAATGAAATTCCAGAATTAGATAACTTTTTAGAATTTCAAAAAAAAAAGAAGCCAGATTCTTGATAGTATTAATCGAACAGCTTCTTCTTCAATTTATAAACATAAGCTAGCCGTTAATAAGAGTAAATCTTTCCAGAATTCGAATAATAATCTAAACTTTTGTGTAATCTGTAAATTACTACACATGATTTATAAGTGCAACACTTTTCAAAATATGAAGGTTTCGGATAGATTTAATGAAATAAAACGTTTAAATTTGCGCATTAATTGTCTAAAGAATTATCACAAAGTAAAAGACTGTAAACGAAATAATTCCTGCTTTGTTTGCAAGAAGCGCCATAACACTTTACTGCATATTTATGAGATTTCTTCTCCGCCTCCTACCTCCTCAGTTTCCACGATGCCAGCCGCCGATCAAACATCTGTCTCCCAAGTGCATAATTCATTCCCACAAGAACATTCAACCATTTTTTCAAATTATTTAGCTTCAAAAAAGAAACAAAATATTCTCTTGCTTACTGCAGTTGTTAATATTAGAAATGCATTAGGAAACTATTATCCAAGCAGAGCGATTTTGGATTCCGCTTCTCATCTGTCTTTCTGTGAACAAAAATGAGCTAATAATTTAATGTTGAAAAAGGAAAAAATAAATGCTTCTGTTTCCGGATTGAGCGATATTTCGCTAAATATTGAAGAAAAGGTAACCACTGTAATTAAAAACAATAGTGGGAATTTTTCAACATCTTTAGAATTTTGAATTGTTTCTTCGATAACAAATTTAACGATAATTAATCCGGTTGAAGCATCTAATATAATGATTCCAACCGATATTAATTTGGCTGATCCAGAGTTTAACACACAAAAAGAAGTAGAATTAATTATAGGTTGCAAGCTCTTTTTTGAAATTTTAAAGCCAAATCAGTTTTGATCAGCATGTAGCAATTGGTTGTTCCAAGAAACTGTATTTGGTTACATAGTAGTGGAAAGCTCCGATAATAGTACAAATAGAGCGTATTTTGGATTAACGTTTAGTTCAGATATAAATTCGGAAGGCCTTGATAAACAGCTACAAGCATTTTGGAATATAGAAACTATTAACGAGCCCTCTGTTGAATATAGTGTCGAATTTGAGTTCTGCGAAACTCAATATAAAAATACTCATTATCGAAATCATGAAGGGCATTACATAGTACAGTTGCCTTTGAAAAAGGATCCTGCTTCGCTAGGTGATTCTAAAGCCGTTGCCGAAATGCATTTAAATCAGTTATGGAAAAAAACTCTCGAAAGATGAGAAGTTGCAATCACTTTATAAATCATTCTTAATGGAATATGCTGACTTGCAGCATATGCAATTAGTTGTAGAACCTCTTCATAAAACTGCTTCATATTTTTTACCTCATCATGGTGTACTTCGCCCAGATAGTAAAACCACTAAGTTGAGGGTGGTATTTAACGCTTTCTCCAAAACGGCATCGGGTCTTTCCTTAAATGACATTTTGTACAAAGGCGGTACTATACAACAAGATTTATTTTCAATTCTTAGCGATTCAGGCAAACATGCTTATGTGTTCACTACTGACATTTCTAAAATGTTTAGGCAAATTTTGATCCACCCTGATCATCGGAATTTACAGTTGATATTATGGAAGAACAGCGTGAATGACCCAGTGCAAACTTTCAAGCTTAGCGCTGTTACATACAGAACTTCTTGTGCACCCTACGGAGAAACTGTTGCGTATGGAACAGTTCTGTACATGCAATCAAATTCGGGAGAAACATCATATACGAGACTTTTGTGCAGCAAGTCCCGTGTTTCACCAGTAAAACCTATCACGATCCCTCGTTTAGAATTGTGCGCCAGTGTTTCATTGGCACAGCTTTTGAACAATGTTAAGTCTCTAATCTTGCCCATTCAACAAATAATGTTGTGGACAGATTCTACAATTGTGCTGGCATGGCTTCAGCGGTCACCTGATCAACTCAAGACTTTTATCAGCAATCGAGTTAAAGTAATACAAGAACTAACTAAGAACTGTCATTGAAATCACATTGCCTCTGATAAAAATCCTGCGGATGTCCTGTCTCGTGGTCTGAATGCTTCGGAAATTGCCTCCTGTGAACTGTGGTGGTTGGGACCAAATTTTTTGAAGGAAGAACTGAATATTGCTTCAATAGATTTTGAAAAAAGTCTCATCAGACAGTGAATTTTTACAGGAACTCAAATCCCCTGCCAAAATACTTCTAACTTCTTATAAACTTGACTTAATTGACAATATTTTAAATTGTAGCAATAATTATACTAAAGTTTTGAATGTTTTAAGTTATGCTTTCAGATTCATTCATATTCAACTGTAGAAATCCAGGTAACAAAAGATTTGTAAGTTATCCTCCAATGAACTAAATGAGAGGGAGTCCTTTTTAGTTAGAAATGTACAAGCATCTGCTTTTAAGGAAGAAATTGATGCTATTTTCAAGGGCAGGGCTTTTTTAGGTAAGAGTAAACTTAACTCTTTAAATCCTTTTCTTGATGGTCAGCAAATTCCTAGAGTGGGTGGTCGTTTGCATAATGCTGCTCTGAATATTCTCAAAAGCATCCAGCTATACTTCCAGCAGACCATTCTTTCACTAAATTGTTAATGACTCATTTGCATATCAAAAATTTCCACTTAGGACCTTAAGCTTTATTATATTGCACTAGAGAAAGGATTTGGCCACTTTGTGGTCGATCGATAGCTAGGAAAATTGTTCATAAATGCATAGTTTGTTTTAAACATAAACCCCTTGTTTCAAATCAACTTATGGGAATCTTGCCTCAAGAAAGAGTAAACCCTAATTATCCTTTTTTGCACTCTGGTGTTGATTATTGCGGCCCTTTCCAAATTAAGTATAAACACCAGAGAAAAGGCAATATCCAACGGATTTATGTTGCAATATTTGTGTGTTTAGCCTCGAAGGCGATTCACTTAGAAGTGGTTTCTGATTTAACAACTGATGCTTTTCTTGCTGCCTTAAAGCGTTTTGTGGCTAGGTGTGGCAAATGTGCAACTATATCATCTGATAATGCAAAAAACTTTGTTGGTGCTAGTAGGGAATTGCAGGATTGAAGAATTTAACAAGATTTCCTGATGAAAAACTAGCATCCTAATTGGCATCTGAAGGGATAGTTTGGAATTTTATTCCTCCCAGAGCTCCAAATTTCGGGGACCTCTGGGAGGCAGGGGTCAAATCCTTTAAGTTTTACTTAAAACGAGCCACAGGAAATATAAAATTAACATTTTAGGAATTCCTTACAATAACAACACAAGTCAAAGGAATCCTAAATTCTCGGCCATTAACACCTTTGTCAGATGATATTGATGACCTGGATGTTCAAACACCAGAGCATTTTTTGGTTGGAGTGTCTATAACTGCCATAGCTGAACCAAGTTTGTTGGATAAATCGGAAACCTGACTTTCTCGGTGGCAAAGGTTGACAAAAATTGTTCAATACATTTGAACTAAGTGATCTCGCGACTACCTCAAAAACTTGCAAGAACAAAATGGAAAGTAGAGAAAACCAACATAAATTTAAATGAGATGGTTTTAATAACGGAGGATAATATTCCTGTAAATCAGTGGAGCTTAGGACGAATTTTAAAACTATTTCCTGGAATGGATGGAAAGGTTAGAGTAGCGGAAATTAAAACAAGCAAGGGGATTGTTAAACGTACCATTAGTAAATTGTGTATTTTGCCATTGGACAATTAAAAAAGATATATGTTAATTTTCTCATTATGTGTACCTACAGCATTTATTCAATCTTTGTAAATTTTATATTGGAATATGTTTGTGTATAATTGTTAAGCTAATCTGTATAGTTTATTGAATATAATTCAACGGTGGGTGGATGTTCAATATCTCAGAAATATAGCGCCAATTTGGCATCTTTGTCTTAGCGTCCTCGCCACCGCTTCTTGTAACCCCAAACAGTTGAAAATTGGTTGTTAATCATATAGCAATAGCGTGCTCGTAGCACCAATTATAATAAAAATCTTAATTACAGTCCATATGTTACTTTATTCATTTGTTATCAAACAAACCAGCATAGAAATCAAATCAATTGGTATCGAACAGAGGTGTCTCTTTTAAACATTCTGGTCAGAATGTTTCTGTCATAAATCACATTGATTTCCTATTGCTTTTTGGCCATTTTTATGAAATTTTTTAAATTGAAATATTATTAATCCGATGTTATAACACCACAAAATTAAGACACTTTTGGCAGCATTGCAAATGTTTCAGCAATTGAGCAGACAGGCACTCTTGTTTTCAATCTATGAATAAAAGTTTAATAGGGGTGATTGAAAAGCTCAAATTTTTTGCTTACCTTAGAAATTTGGAATAAATATAAGAATATTACTCTATAAACAGGTGAATTTTAAAAAAGTAACTAAAATATCAAGTATTAGGTTAAAAAAAATTGGAATTTTCGAAAATAAAACAGATTTTTGGGATGAAAATAAGAGGGTGGAAAAATCCCGCTGGATTTTCAGTTATTTTGATTATTTTTTCTTCCTTATATAATTTAAAAAATGCAGGATAGAAAAATTTTGGCAATGAGGTTACTTTTTTCCCATTTTCAATAATAAAACACTAATTGAAAAATAATTTCAACAAATGAAATGCAAAAATGAGAAGTGCCCAAAACTGCTGATCTGAGGAATAATCTTATGAAAAATACATTCATGAAGGGAATTAGTTTTTCAGTTACTTCAATAGTTTATAGATAGGAATTAGTTATTTTCAATAAAGACAGCCTAACCTGAGATTGAATGTAACTATGATTGATATGTGCATTAAGAAGTAAACACTTTTATCACTTGTTTCGATCATCTCTTACCCTATCTTGTATATTACGAAAAACTTTCATCTCCCATTAAAAAAAGTATAATCACCCTGAGGTCGTTGCAGAAGGTGCGCTTCTGTAAGATTGCAGCATTCTCTGTCTCAATAGCATAATCCCACGCAGAGAATATTTTGTTGCAGAACACATTCTTGATCTCTCCAGCTGTGTCAACATAGTTTTTCTGGTAGGAGGCTGTAATGCTGCAATTATTATTAAAACAGCTTTCAAAAGACATAATTAATACAGATAATATTTAGTGAAAACTCTCTGAGTAAATTGAGCCATATTTCTTATACAAATTCAGAACCTTGAAAATATATGGGGTAAGTCGCCATAATAGAAATAGGGTAAAAATAATTTAAACCCCCACAATGCTAATTCCACTCTTTATTATAATGCCAATGATGTAATCTACAGCATAATATGCAACCAAAATCTTTTTTTCAATCTATAACCTTAATACTGTTTTATTCTAAAAATAAAAATAGTACATTTTTGAGAAGAAGAAATTTAATTTCACTTGTCTCTCTGCAAAAAAAAATAAATTAATTAAATTAAACACTCCTGTCACAGCTACTTCTTTTAAATGAATAAAATACATATTTGTATAACATCAAATCAAAAATGTGTGGTATGCTTAATAAATAATTGAATACATATAACACAAGAGTAAAAAGAAGTTGATCCAGGCTTCATTTTATAGGGACAATTTTTTGTGAAAAAATAATGAATTTTGATGGAAAAAAATATATTTGTGAAAAATGGGAAATTTTATGAAAATGTTTAATGAAGAACCTTCAATTTAAGCAAATACTATTTTTTATTCCGCTTCTCTTTTCTTTGTCAATATCCCAGGGTTTCAAAAAAAAAAATTTCGGCTACTTCGGCTTTTAAAATTAACCTTAAGATACTTAATGCGTAGTTGCAACATGTGAATTAGAGCTCTATTACTTTTAGACTTGTTTGACTCCTTCCATCATCATTTGATGATTATTATTGATACATTCCCATTTGAGAAAATGCTGTCGTAAAATGACATAGTTTTCAGATTTTTTTTCTCCTGAGATTCCAAAGAACTCTAATTTTGTGAAGGAATTTCCGCCTGAATAGACCCCGGAAAAATCATATCCCCTTGCAATAAGAAATAGTTTCATAAACAGAAAAAATTAACAAATACTCACGGTCCAGACCAAGTACACATGCAGCATGACGTAAGAAAAAAAATATAGACATGTTTTCTTGACATAAAATAAAAATTCATAAATAAAAATACTCCAAAAATAATATAATTATAATGCATAAGAAAGAAAATATATAAAATATGATTGATAATTGATAATCAGGCTACTATTGATAAGTGACAAAGAAGTTCCTTCTTGTTTGTGTAGAAATTAGATGTTAACGAAAAGTTCATACCATGAAATAGTATTTTGCATAAAATTCCATACACTTTATAAAAAAAATTTTTTTATGGAAAATAAGAATAATAATTTTTATATATTTTTTTAAAAAATTTAAATATATTTCAGATTACATGTTCCATATAAATAAATTGTGCTCAAAACATCAAAGGAAGGTTAAGAACAAAAATTTACAATAACTTAGGCAAACAAAATTCACTTTATATTAAATAAAATTTTCAGAAACCAAGTTGCTATGAAATGAATAGTGTTTAGCAATGAATAACACTTTGCTTTAAAGAAATTATTTAAATTAAATTATTTTTAATTCAATAGTACCTATAAATTAATCAATTGAAGGTTATCAAAGTTTACAGGAAGTGTGAGATTTAGGAATGTTTTGGTTTGAACATTTTTTTGAGAAATCTTTTTTTTTTCTTCCAAAAGATTTTTAGGCTTAAAAATAAATAGATTCAATTTTACTAAAATATTGGACGACAGCTACAACATTTTTAGCACCATAACAATCAGGTATGCTGAATAAAATAATGTTTTACAACATAAAAAAGTGCTTATTAAAACTTGACTAAATTACGCTATAAAGAAGTATGTACAGTGTGGGGGAGGAAATAGTACATTTTAAAAACTTTTGATTTAATGAACAGAATTTCACATGTTGACATGCTATGGTTCATTAATGGTTCAAGGCATACTAATCCAATCAAGGCATGCAAGGCTGGTTCTTAGACATGTTAATTAATTTATGGCATAAACTGCAAAATATAGTCATGATAATTAAGTCAGAAGTACCAGTGGAAAGTTTTGGAATCATAATTATAATTTAACTTTTTGCCTATTTTGCAATATTTCAAGAAGTATTTAAGTAAAAGCAAAAAAAGTTTTGCACACAATTATGAAATTTGCATACCAAAAATAATTCGGTGCAAAACAAAATATATTGAAATTATGAATATCAAAAGTATTTGAACTATAAGGAGTACAAGTTTTCATATCATTATAACCTACGTAGTTTTAAATGATAAAATTACACTAAATTTTAACAAACTCAGTAAATTTGTTTGAAAGAAGTAAAAGTTTAAAAAGAAGCATTTTTAACTTTATTATAATATATATATATATATAAGCTCACCAGACAAAAAATGAGTCACACTAGTGCACAAGCCCTGATGAATCATTAGGTTTCGTTAGATCACGCAGTGGTCAAGTGACATGCTCAAATGCGTGTGCAGTGCCTCAACGTGATCAAAGGCAATAGCCATCAGTGAGATTGTGTGTAAATATAAGAATGTGACAGAGTGGCAAAAACGGGCAATTGTGTTTGGTTGTGCCCATGGTCATACGGTGAATGAAGTTGCTAGAGTTTCAATGCAGACTGTTCAACAACGAATGGTGTAATACAAGTGGTCACAAAAGATGTCAGAATTGTGGTCGGAAAAAGATCCTGCATGAAAGGGAACCGGAGAAGCGTTTCACAAAGTGTCAATCAAAATTGTTTCCAGACTCGACAGGAATTGCTTTAGCTAGTATATGAAGGTTCACCCCAACCTATTAGTGAGAGAACATTGCGACAGGAGCTACATGCAATAAGCATTTGGAGTCGAACACTACATAAGAGGCCATTGCTCACACAGGCACATAACGCTGCACAATTTCAGTGGGCTAGAAGTCACCGAACACGGACAGTTGCTGACTGGAGGAATCTAGTATGGTCTGACGAATCATGTTTTTGCCTTTATTCAAATGACGTGCGTTGTCGAGCGCACCGAAGACCAGATGAAGCATTTCATAACGACTGTTTGCAAGGTCAGGTTAAAGACAGAGGCAATACTGTCATGTTTTGGTGGCGTTTTCCTATTATGGATTGAGCCCCCTCACTGAGGTGGCCACTAACATGAACCAACATGCTTATTTGAACATTCTGGATGATGAGGTGTTGCCTTTCAATATACATCTTCATGATGAGTAGGCTGTCAATACCTTTATTTTTATAGATGACAACAGAAAAAATCATCGAGCAGGAAGAATATGCGAATGGTTTCGTAAACACTTAATTACATCTCAACTGGCTTGCTAAATCATTTGACTTGCACCCCATTGAAAATTTGTGGAACAGGTTGGAACAGTGGTTAAAACACCGAAATCAAATCCTCAGCAAGTGGCTTAAACTGGATTCGACGTACCTGCAAAACTTTGTGGACACACTTTTTAACCGAATCCAGGCGATTATCAAATCCAGTGGTGGTGTTACATGTTACTAAATGATGTTTTTTATTACTTCTCTAGGTGACTAATTTTTTGTCCGGTGTACTTATATATATATACATAGCTACTCACATCATTAAACAATTGGGAGCATATTTTTCAAATTGTGGCTATTGATACATTTTAAAGATTAAAAATCCACCGATCAGAAAAAAGTCCTGCATATTCAGAGAAAGAACGTTTTCGTGTTTAAATTTCAGCACAAACTAATTTACGATTTAATGTAGATTTTTCTAAGTAAGGTTTGACTATTAAGATTATGATGTTCTGCTTTGTTAGTGCATTGTACAATAATGCAAAAAATAAAGGACCACCCTGAATAGCTTTTAGTCTAATGATTCAATTTTCACGTTTTAGGACTATCTTAATGGTATGAATAGGAGACTTTGGATATGCTAATTAATTTGTGTAGACAATATTTTAACAGGGTTCCCACTCTTTTAACAAAGCAAAAATTAAGGACTTTTAAGGACTTTTTTTGAAAAAATAAAGGATTTTGTTGAAAAATTAAGTACCTTAAAAATAGTATAATAATTGTTTATCCTCAAGTATACATGACAGTGCCTAATTGGGTTTTTTCGAGTGAGTCCACATAAAGAAACATACTTCATTCCAAGGTGGGATTTTTCAAAATCTATTGAACCAGATCATTAGGTTTTGCTTAAAAAGCAAAATAACTGATCGTGGAAGAAGATTTTCAAATAATTAAAGAAAAATGAACTTGATACATAAGTTGAAATATATTCATCTAATTTTAAGAGCATACTAATGTGCCTTTAATTATAATGGATAAGTGAAGTAACTGTTTTTTATACAACACGTTGTGAATATTATTTAATGTATATAAAATTATAATTTTTGATATTATTAACAAAATTTCCGCTACAAGTGCCTAACTTTTCGCACGATACTAATATTACATTTTTTTTAATACTTAGACTGATTACAGAGATTTAAATTAGAAATTAAATCAAACTACTTCATTTACAGAAAATTATCAGTTTTCATGAAACAAAATTATTTATGTAGCAATTGAAATTAAATTATTTTGCAATTTTTTCATACATTACGAAAAAAAGAGTAAATAAAGGTAGTTGGTAGAAACATGGAAAAAATTATAACAAGTTTTATATTTAGCTGCTAGACATGCATAACATAGTCAGTTGTGGGCTAATCTAGCAAAATATTCAATAACGCCAAATAAATTACTTTTTTCTATTAATAAAATATTTCATTTATGAAGGTATATAATAATAGAGTTAATACAAAAAAGATGAATCAGAGTTATGCATTAGAGTTTTCTTTACTATGTCAAGTTAAATTAAGTTCTGTCCCAAGTAAATACAACCCAACACCTCAAATTGCTCCACATTTTTTTCCACAAGTCTTAAATTAATATTTTTTTAATTCATTGTAACAAATATTTTATGAAAATTTTTATAGGATAAAAATACAATTATGGTGGAGAGGCTTTATAATGTTTGAACTAAGATGTTTCATATATTAGTTCTTAGTGTATAACATATAAAATAAAATAGTCTAAAATGATTTTTCAAAGTTGTCAGCACATTTCTATGGCAAGAAAATTGGTAAGGTTCCTTAATTAAGCAATAAAAAATTTATTTTTTCATAATTTAAAAGCATTCACTTGTAATATTTCTTTGTCATCCTTTCTTAATATTATTCTCTACTATTGTTATGATTTGATATTTTATTTTTATAGCAAATTAACTAAAAGCGGTATTTTTTTATTATAAAGTAATCCTGTAACATCACTTTATTATGTATCGCTTTATAAAAAAAATTAAAAGATTCAAACATTTAAAAAAAAAACATATTAAAAATGATATACAACTTTACCATTTTAAAATTATTACTAAACAGCAATATTACTATGCTTAATTATTGCTAAACAGTAAATATGTTATATTTACTCTGATAATTAGCTGTATATAAAATTATTTCCAGCCAAAACTGTTATTAGGAATTAACATCACATAATATTACTAAATAATCTGGCAAAAAATATTAACTAATTTTAAAGTAACCAAAAGTTAAATAGAAATTTTAAAAAAAAACAGTATATTAAGTCGTAATTTTAACTGAACAAAATTATTAATAATAAAATCTAGGTTTAAATTTTATTTTAATATACTACAATATAAAAAAAATTGTGATCTTTTAATTGAGTTAGATTTAATTTCTTAGGCAACAATCTGTTTATTCTTAAGAAATAAAAATAATAGTGTAACAATCTGAAACCACCAAAAAAATGGTTTTATTGCGACAAAACAAGTTATAAATAGCAACCAAAGATTTAACTCGAGGTTCCCATTAAATCTTAGAGAAAAAATTCCCTGACTTTTCCAGGTATATCAGGAAAATCTCAATGTAAATCGAAACTTTATTTTATCTATACCATACAATTTTTCACCAAAAACACTTTGATTTTTCTTAATAATCGTAATGGAAAAGATTTAGATTTTGTGAACAAATACATATAATAGAATGAGAATGGAAACATTGAAAATTTCACTAAAAAATGGACTTTTATACAATAATTGTATTATATGTTTGAATTATTTAACCTGAATCTTGATAACTGATTACAGACAATTCTATGACTGGCTATTTTCCAGGTATGATATAGGAATTTTTCTGGTATTTTGTAAAAATTACAACTTTCCCTGACTATTCCATGCTTTTTAGAATTAAAATAAAATTCTCTGACAGGTTTTCCCTGACCCCTGTTAACTTTCATGTTAGAAGCAAATCATGCATTCTTATCATGCATCTAGGGTACCATTCTAAGCAAAAGAAAGAATTAATAATAAAAGAGCTAATACAGTAGAGAACCATTTATCCGGTTTCCAGAAAACCGGGAAGAATTTTGCTTGGTTTTCCCGCTATTTTGAAGTATAACTACTAAAAGCGGAAAAAAAGCGAAAATTTGACTCATCCTTGAAGTTGAGTAGAGGGAAAGGGGGGAATTCTTCTCCTTTGCCCAAAGAAACTTCAATTCTTCCTCCGACCTTGAAGATCATTAGATGGAGAGGGGGCAGGGAAGGGACAATTGTTTTATTTTCTCCTGTGTGTCAGCTGTTTTTCTGATAAGCTGTCCTCAATCAAAAGGAGTGGTATGCTGATTTTGTTTTCTCTTTGATTTAAGTAGGGGGTGGGGAAAATGCATTGCACAGGCATATCAATGAATGTCCCAGTTATGAAACTTGAAACTTCCGGCTAAGAGTATTGACATGTGAGATTTATTTTAAATCCACTTAGTTACTCAGTTTTTGTTATCCTTGATTTTTTATGATGAATTGTTTTATTATTTCCGATAATGCATTTTTTATTACGAACAAAACGTTTTTTAATCACCAGTTATATTCATGTATTTGACATTGATTAACAAAACAATACATTTTTTAAAAAAATAAATTCTGATTTTTTAGAAATGCAGTATCATTAGCAAGTTTTTCTTGATGTGAAATCACATTAAAAAAGCAGACGAATATTTTATGAAGCAGAAAAAAGTTTTCTTTTTTTTAATTTTGATTTTATTGAGTTTTTTTTTCTTTTTCTTTTCAAGATAAATTTCGAACTCAATAAATTCTTTTTATTCATCAATTTTATCATTAAGTTGTTTTTTTTATTCTGTTGATCTTATAATATCCTGCCTTGTTCCAGGTTTTAATATTCATGTTAGCGCCTCTTTTAAATATCGTTTCCGCTCGATAATTTTCAAGTGTTGTTTTTATTTAGATTAATAAGTTTTCCTTTCATCATTCCCCCCCCCCCATATAATTAGGTATGAAAAATATTGTGTTTTTCAATTATTAGTTTTGTTTTATATTAGTTAATTTGGGGATTTTAATTATTATCGAAAAATAAATATGCGAATTTTGTACTTTTTAAACTTGTTTTTCATGTCTAAACTTGCAAATGTTTTTATCCTTTTAAATATTTTTTGACCGCTTTATTTTAAAATTTTTTTTTTTTTTAAATTTCGGAGATCTTTTCATTTTTTTCTTATTTTAAAATGTGTTTAACTTTTTCTTAGTAATTTGGGTTTGTTAAAACATCGATTAACGGCACTTTTGGCCAATCCAGAAAACCGGGAAATTCAGACATCCAGGATAGCGATGGTCCCGAGCTTCCCGGTTAATTGGCTCTCTACTGTATATTAATGAAAGAAGGACATGATTTCTTCCTCTTGCCTTGCACACGTCCCTTCTTGTCTCTCTAAAATGTCTGATGCATGGTCTCATTCTAGGCCATAAAAGAACAACTTTTTTTTCTAATATTTTTGTTAGACTGAAAAATTGTTTCAATTAATTACAGCGATACCGAAAATTAAGGACTTTTAAAAACCTTGTACCAAAATTAAGTACTTTTAAGGGCCCTTATTTTCCAAAATAAAAATTAAGCAGTATTTCAGGACTTTTAAGTTCAGTGGGAACCCTGTTTAAGTTATGGAATGGTACACAAAAGCATACTTTCTCTGAATAAACATATCTTTCAGATTTCTGACCCCCAAAATACAGAGGGAAGCCGCAATCTGAGAAATATGGTCCCAACAGTTAGTGAACAGAGTGCTCCAAAGTTTGGACCCATTAACGTTAATTTTACTTTTTGCATATTTCGCTATATCGAGAACTTTGAACCAAATTGAAAAAATTTTGAACTTATAAAATTGGTTTATCCAAAGATAAATCCATAAAAAATAATTTTTTTTTAAATATTCATTATTTTTATAATTTTATTTAATAATGGTTGAAAAAATTTTGAATTCTAAGGTACATAATTTTTTGTATAACTTTAAAGAATGTAATTTTGCATGGTAAAATACAATATTTGTGGAAAATTGTTTGAATAGTTCATGAGAAATTGAATTCAAAAATTTTTAGATGTAAAAAATAGAATTTATCTTAAACAATTTATCTGATTTTGCTCAAAATTTGCACTTTGCCTTGTAAAATTACATTCTTCAAAATGAAGAAAAAATTTAATACCTTACAATTCAAAATTTTTTGACTATTATTAAACAATATAAAAAATAATAAATATTTACTAAAAGAATTTGTACTGAATAATTTTTGGATAAAAAAATTTCATAATTGTGTGCAAAAATGTTTCAATTCGATTAAAAAGTTCTTGAGATATGGCAAAATGTGCAGAAAGTAACAGTAACATTAAGAGGGCCAAACTTTGGAGCGCTCTCCTGACTAAACTATTTGGACCCTATATTTTGGGGTTCAAAAATCCGAATTTGTCAAAAAAAAAAGCACTTTACCTGCACTATACATAGTTTTATGGACAGACAAATAAAATTTTTAAAAAAAACTACAGTTAGAAAATTAAAAAATTAGGAAAAAATAAGAAAGAAGATGTGAGAAAATTTTAATCAGCTGAAAAAAAAATTTAATTGTTGTTAAAAAAAAGTATTTACCTAACACTAACTACAATCAGGATGATCAGCATATTGGAACCAACTGCACATAAATAAGCGAGAGGCATGTTATACGGAAATCCTTCTATTGGTTGAATAACATCACTAGAATACGAACCAAAATACAGAAGAGAGTTCATCAACCATCCCTGGAAAAGAATATGCATCTTAAGCTATATAATTTAACCTAACAATAGTTATTTAATTATTTTTTTAAAACTACTCTGTTTCAATCATTATCTAAAATAAAAATAGATATTTTAGGAATAATAAAAGTAAAAATGCTTACTTTAGTAACTTTGAAAAAAAATTTTTTTGATGTTTTTGATGGCTCTTATTGGAGAGCTTACAACAATTTTTGAAAAAAGAATTACACAGAGTCTAATTGCTATTGAATTAGGTAAAAATTAATTTACAAATCTCATTTTACTCCTCTTTCAAACGGGGCTGAGAAAGAAAAAAAAACATGCTTCTTTTGGAAAAGCTCAACCCAAGTGGTTCTTTTAAGGGGTGGAGTAGGCATTGTATACAATTTTGTTAACAAATTTAATAGCATAGAGTTAATATTGGAGGATAAATTAAATGTAATAAAAAAACAACTTTCTATTTAATTTATCTTCACACTTCCAATTCGAAAAATATTACAGTTTGTTCTCCTTTGTTACTCCTAATGTGTAAGAAAAAGTAAAACTATATTTCATTTATCTAATAGCTAAATCTTTTTAAATTTAGAAAAATGGTGGTAAAAAAAATGGTTTTATTTAAAATCAGGGCACATCACAAATTCTCTGGACGATGACGATTTGATATTGATTTTTTTGTAAGACCTAAATTTTTAGGGAACACGCACACATTGCCACCTTTCAATAATCTAAATCCAATCATAGACAAAGCACAATCCAAATACAGCCAATCTATAAAATCTAAAAATTACCGTTCCAGTGAGTAGGTCATGCCATTGAAAGGATCCAGCATCTTTAACCAGGAAGGAGGAGGTGGAATTTTTAAAATTCTTGTGGATGATTTCTGGAACAATCACAAAGCAGAAGGTGATAAAAAAGTTGCACAGATTAAGGTAGAGTAGCCACCTCAAGAATATGAAATAAGATGTAACGCATGAGCCGAACTGTCCTTGAATGGCTTTAATAGAAGAATGCCACGGCTCCAACAAGTAAAAAAGGTTTTTTAGTTCAAACCAAACTTTGTGCAAAGTCTGAAAAAAAAAACATTATGAAATAAATTAATTAGTATTTTCTTAAAAGATGAAGCCGATATGGATAAACTAGCATTCAAAATAACCAGAACTCAGTGAAAAAGTTCGGGACCCACAGTAGACACAAGACAAGCACACAACCTTTTAAAATTTGCATTTATTCTACACACATTTTAATTTAATATAATGATTTACATTTTATTCTAATAATTTTAGTTAATTATGTAGCTAATATAATGTTCTTAAATACATAAACTTCTAATAATAAAAATAAAACATAGCAATTAATTTCATAAAACTTTGTGAATTTGAATTGTTTTTTCTTCCTCATTAGCATTGTAAATACTGTATACAGAAGTGTAGGTAATAAATGTAACTAAAAAAATTAAATTAAATTATGGGAAAATTTTTGTTAATAGCAGGAGATCACGTCTCCTACTTGCTTACAGACTCTCGCAAGTTCCTTTGAGTTCACTTTGTTCTCTTACTGGATATTTTAAATATAATAGATTAGCTTTTAATGAATAGTGGTATTTTCATAAAAATATAGTTCTAAAAATATGGAAAGTATACCTACTAAGAAACTCCCTTGACCTAACTTATATATATATATTTCAATGCACCTTGAAAATAAAATTTAAGACTAATAATAAATAGAATTTTCCTTATATAAACTATATTAAATTTAAGAGTTTGGAACTTCAAAGTTTTAAATCATTTATATTATCATTAAAAATATAAAAATCAAAGAAAATAAAAAAAAAAAAGAATTAAGGTAGTATTCCAGGCTTAAAACAAAAATTTAGATTGAATGGATGACATTCAACACAGGTAGTAAGATGATGTTTGGTCTGCACTTTCGTTAAAGCACTTCTTTATTCATCGGGATAACACTATTGAAATTAAAATATTACGTAACCTGCTCAAATGAATAAGCATAAATTAAAACAAAAATATAGTTCATCTTTTTTTATTTGCTTTTTACTTTTATTTTTTATGCAGTTGATAGCTCTACTGCTCAGTTAAGAAATTATGATTTTGTTTAACAGAAAACTCAGCTAAAAACAGTTGGCGAACAAGTGACCTCTATTGTAATCATAAAATTGACACTTCAAAAATATTTTACATCATTGGATTTTCATTTTTAAGAAACAAATTCTACTTATCTTAATAAACAGTGGCATGAAAATTTTTGTGGAAAAAATGATGAAAACAGTAATTGTAATAGGCAATTATAAAAATTGTTTTCGCAACTTCGAGTCAACGAATCTATATTTTAATAAGATTTCAACCTGAGAGACACTTTAAAATGATGCCATCTTAGTTTTTTTAGAAAAATGCATACCAAGAATAGTTTGGATGAAAAAGTGAGCATTTATATTTATTTTACAAAATTGGTACATAGAATCTGCGATGACATTTTCTTTTACTTGTGTCAATCTAAAATGCAATGGCAAAATATACAAGGTATTTGACTGTTATGATCAATCCTTTAGTAAGACACAATATTTAGAGCTGAGTTTTCTGAGCCATTCTGCATCCCAATAATTGGGAGACTAATATTAGACACGAAAAAATTGAATTAGCAAATAATAGTTAAATGCAAGTTTAAATTTAAAAGAAAAGAAATCATCTAAATAATTAAAAAAAAATAATAATTCACGTGTAAACAAAGGGAAGACAAAAATTCATGCTTCTTTTTAAAAAATTCAATTTGCAACTTACAAAATGCTAAACTAGATTATCAGCTTATCTTAGATTCAAAACTGGAAGAAAAGTAAGATTTTAAAATTTATGTAAAAAAAAATGTAAATTTTTTTTAATGTAAAAAATTTAAATAATTTAATACTTTTTTCATTTGTTTTAAATATGTTTTCATAGCTTAAGAACATATTGTGCCAGAGACCATAATAAAAACCTTCCTGCAACTAGATTGTCGAAGCACTGCATTCGGGCTCTACCTGATTAATGTATTGTTTTAAGTCAATTAGATTCATAAAATTTAAAAAGTCTTTTTCTCAATGAGATTATTTATAATAAATAGGAAAAATATTTGCTTACTTATTTAATCTTTATTTAACTCTGCAATTTTATTTTAAAAAAGATTAAAAAAAATAATTTTGCAAGCAATTATATTATTTTTAAATTTGAGATACAACAAGTAATCTGCCGATGGAGTGATAATCTGCGGTGGATTTCTGCGACGGAGGTTGTCACAAAAGAAATTGCAAGTGAAACAAAATAGTTAATAGTTGTGAATAATGTAACCTGATAGCATTTTAAATATTTCAATATTGATTGATTTAAGACATACGCAATGAAGGAAAAAGCGAGAATCAGGTAAGAAATTTATTTTATCTTTTCTAATGAAGTCAGTATAAATCTTCAGATAATTAATATACTTTTGCTATTCTTAGTCATCATGATATGTCTTCATAATTGATTTCACTATAGTTTTGTATTCACTAATTCATATGTACATACAACCAGCACTGTAATGAATGGAGAGAATAATTGTAAAAAAATGCAAGACTGATAAGCAAGAAAGTAGTCCAATAAAGATCTTTCCTAAGGTTACCATTGTCTAGTGAACCATTGTAGTTAAAAGAGTAGCAAACTACATCCCCAAGGAAAAAGTGTTGGTGTGACATGACTCTAAAAGATTTAATTTTTTTTCTTCTGTGGCTTGTCAATGTATAATGTAGGAAAATTAATATTTTGATCTAATTTATAATGAGGGATGGATCTAAAAAATTATACCACTAATATGCTTTTATTTTATTACCAATTATCTGTACGAAAAAAGAATAACAACAACTCTCTTTTTAAACCAACCCACAGTGAATCTTCAACAAGGTAATTAACAATTAGTTATACAATTTTTAAAAAAAAATTCAAAAGGAGTTTCATATAAGCCTTAATCATAATTTTTCTTTATTTTTTTTTTAAATTTAGAACTATTTATAATTGATTTTAATTTATACTCCTCAGATAACTGAATAATTATTTTCTTTTTTGTTCAACTGAAATTTTCTGTCTAAACTAAAAAATAACATTTGGAAACATTTTCAACTTAATTAGCAGATTCAAAAAAAAAAAAACAAAAAAAAAATCAGAAGAGAGGGGAAGAAAAAAACAAGAGAATAAAATTTTAGTATTGTTTATCCTTAAATTCAGTTTGCCTCATCACTAGAGGGTACTATTATTCATGTTCTATTTTTTCTATTAATTTTGTTGTTCAGTGTGTGTGTAAACAAAGAGGAATAAAGTTATGTTTAGAAGTGCGTGCTGTTCCTTGTCTCGTCTCATCAAGTATAATAACAAAAAAGATTGCATTTTTATACTTAAAATAGGAATAAGAACACAGCAAAATAAGTTGCATTTCAAGAAAAATCAAATCATTAATGCATATCAAAAGGGAAATCATTAAATTAAAATAGAGGATTATCCTAAAACTTTTTTCGAAAAATCTTAATTTTTATTAGTTTTTAGTCTATTTTAGTTCATACAAATCAAAAGATATTTTTGAGAAGGTCTTTTAAATTTTTACGTTAAGTGTCTGATTTCACATGCAACACAATAATGTGAAATGTGCTTGGCTATAAAAAAAAGAGAAAAAATAATCTCACCATCCCAACACTCAGTTTACACCTTAAACAGCTTCCAAGAGAGTGGGAGGCAATCTTCCTCTCCCTGTCCGCATCAAACTTTTCTTTCACCTGTCGCTTGATGGTCAGGCTCTGGTGCATCTCACGAAGGGTCTTCATCTTTTCTTCTTCATTTGAGTCTGGATTTGAGTTGAGGATCTGAGATAAATATAAGTTTCAAACGTAAGTTCTAATTGATTTGCAAATGGTTCATTTAACTTTCTCTTCATTTCGTTCATTTCACGGGCATTGTAGGGGATTATCACCCATAAAACATTTTTTCTTTTTTGCATGTTTTATTTCCTAATACCATCACACTTTGTTGTACAGACCATCATTAGAAGGGTACAATGATTTGCTAGTAAATCTTATTTAATTGTTCAAAATGAAATTGGTGGAAAACCCCTTATTATTTTGAGCTTCTTTTAAAAAGTAAGAAAACCACTTAGAAAATTACATTACACATTTTAAATTTCTAAGATATTAAAATCAAATTTTTCGATTAGTTATCAAATACAACTCACTACAAAATTAAGAACTTTTTTCAAATTAAGAAAATTTTTCCAGGCATGTGCAGTATAAAAGAACTACCATATATACTTATATCTTGTGCAGTTTTTAACTAATTTTTCTCAAATTTTAAAGCAATAATTTTGTAATCAATTTTTAATTTATTCAAAAGTTCTGTATAATTTATTGAATATTTTCAAAGTTATAGCAAAAAAAATGGAGATAAATTTTTTTTTTTAATGTTGATATCTCCAATAAAAATTAAGCTATGTTTACGAAATTTTACATAATTATTGCATATAATAACCAAAATAATAGTAATAAGTTACAAATGTATTACTACATTTTTTGGCATACAGTGTTTAAAAACATTTTTTCCCATTTTTAATCTATTGTTGGTCCCTCAAACCTCAAAAAGCCTTTAACTTATGATACATGTATGAGATGATGTTATTCATACGAAAAATTGCCCGATCTAAATTTATAAACTATTTCTTTAAGTATTTTTTGAGAAATATCAAAAATTGTGTTCGTATTGAAGTGCTTCCATTATTTTGTAGAACCCCTGTATATCCTGTTTAGGTGTAAAGGTTTGACAAAATTTGGAAACACTTCGATACCCCCTGTATAGAAGTGTTTCCATATTTTGTCAAACCCTGTATAAAACAATTCCTTTACTAAAATTTGGCAGCAAAATTTTTATAAATTAATAAACTAACTTATGGTGAATGCTTGAAAAATAAAATTATAACAAATAATCTCCATTTAAGAACCATTTAATTTTCTTCAAAAGAGAATAAAAGAGTAGCTTGCTCTTAAATTTAAATATTCGTTGCAAATTGAATGGATAGAAAAGAACCCTTATTTATTTGAGCTTTTCTCAGATCGATCATATTATAAGGATATTGTAACAAAAAGTGAAATTTTGAAAACGTGAAAATCCATAGCAATACCTGATATTGTAACAAAGTAAGCATGCAAAATTAAGATTACTGAAATGCACAATTAGAAATTTGCATGTCACAATACTCTAACATATTCTAAACATTGATATTTTAAAAACAATAAAAAATTTGTAGCAATAAATGCCAAAATGATGATAAATAACAGCTAAAGAAAAACATTGGCATTTTTAGTGGCATGGAGGTCAGATTGCAAAGTTGTGATAAAACTGCACTTAACAATTCTAATTATTTTCCTCATAGATAATGAAGAGAGGATTGATAATAAAAAATATTTATTCAAACAAAACATCAATTTCCTAAAGAAAAAAAAAGATTAGTTTTATAAAATTTCATTCCTCTAAGCATAAAAGCCTAGACAAAATCTAGTAAACTTTTTGTAACTTTCAATATTTTTTTATCCTTGCTGTAAAGTTAATTTTAAAACATCAAGTTTTTTTCCAGACATTTACTGGATTTATTGTACAGAATGATTAAGTGAGTGATTAACATAGTCATTTCTCTATTCATAAATAGTTTTCATCTATTCCTATACTGCCCGGCAAATAAAAAATCAACCTAGGCGACAAAACTGAGATTTTTATATATTTGGCATCTGTGTATAATAAGCTACATATTGCAGAAGTTTTTCAAATATAAATTTCGTTTTATCAGTTTCTTGAAATTATATTTTACAATTCATAGCATTAGCAATAGAATAGTTGTCAAGCCACTTTTCTTGAAATCTGTTGTGAAGCAAGCTGTTTTTTAAATTGCACTGCATTATACAGTCCCAACTTATTATTATTTTTTTTTAAACTATGGTTTCTCAATTCCTAAGTGATAAGAAGTGAAATCTACATCTGTAAATTTGCTTAGTTGTTCGCATGGAGAAGAATGAAATTTGTTATTTTCATGTTACGCATACAGAACATTTTAATCATCCAGAGAAGAAAAGTCAGAGTTTTTCATTTTTAAAGCGTATGTCTAATAAAAATGTGAATTTATAAAAATGGGACAATGATTCTATTAAACGGCATGTTTCAAGACATGAACATGTTTTGATATTGATGTACTCTGTTCCTGGAAATTTGATTTTAAAAAGTGGCTGATAATATAAGTGGTGGTCACAGTAAATAGTTTTAATAGAATGAAAAGCACATTTCATTTTAATAGATAAAAATAAATATTTCATACTACCTCATAAATTTTGTTTGCACTAATTCCTTTATGACGTGAATTAAGAGTAGCATTTTTAAGCTGAAGTGTTCTGTAATGAGAATCTTTCCTTCGCAAGCTACTTTTTGTTTTATCCTCTTTTTCAACTTCTTCTTCATCAAGAAGGACATCTATAATTTTCATCAAAATATGATTTGAAATTCAAAACACTCAACACCGTTTCAAAGATTTTGTAATGCAAAAATATGTTAATAAATTTTTAAAAATATTATGAACAGTAAATAAAGCAATTATAGTATTTTCCTGAGCCTTTTCACACAAATGAGAATACATTCCATTAGCATTAATCAATATAAACTTTACTATTAAAATTAATCAATATCAATACACACAAAAAACTAATTTATGACGTTTTAACTATCCACTAATTGCTGCTTGTTTCGAAACCTAACAACAGAGATCTGCCAAAAAGCAAAATTTGCGAAAGATAATCAATCGTTTAGAACAATGCAGCCGAATGGTAAAATAACAAGTGTGAGAAAAAAGACTAGCTGGTCCCAATAAGCCATTGGTAAATAAAATTTGCCTCACGTTAAGAAAAAAAAAGAAAGCACTGCCTCAGAAGATAAAAGTTTCTTTTAACCCATGTAGAAGAAAATCTTCATGCAAAAGAAACATTAAAATAAATTTTTTAAACACTTTATAACTGCACAATCCGCTTTAAATAATCATACTAATTTCCAAGCTATTTAAATAATCATTTTTAAATAAGTGAAAACTAAATAAAAACATCAATTAGAAAGAAAAATAAATTTAATAATTTTCTTTATAATCAAAACAGTAGTTTCTTTCAATATTTTACATGAAAGTGTATATTAAAACATAATTATTTAAAGGAACTGTTTTAACGGAGTTCCCACTTTTTCAACAAAGCAAAAATTAAGCACTTTTAAGTACTTTTTTCGAAAAAATTAAGTACTTTTTTGAAAAAATTAAGTACTTTTTTGAAAAAATTAAGTACTTTTTTGAAAAATTAAGAACTTTAAAAATAGCATGATTGTTCATCATCGAATATACATGTCTCCAGTGATAGTGCAAATTATTTACCACCCTAAAAAAATCAATAAATAAAAAAATTACAAAAAACAATTTTATTATAATGTGAACACTGATATAATTGTATGAATTTAACATGGCTCACCAAGGAAGTACCAGGCAATTTTTGTAAACACGGGTCGGGTTTTATTTCAAACATTTTCAGATATTTAAAAGTTAACGCCATTCAGATTGTAAAAGTTAACGTATGAAACTAATCTGCATTCCATTTTAAATTATTTCATTGAAATTGAAAAAATTGAGCAGAAAAATTGTTCCTGTCAACCATAGTGATGCTAAAAAACTAAAGACTTTTTAAAGCCTTGAACCAAAATTAAGTACTTTTAAGGGCCCTTATTCTCCAAAATAAAAATTAAGCAGTTTTTAAGGACTTTTAACCCTGTTTAAGGATCATCATCAACACTTATTAATACAATTGGATTACATACCAAACACATACACTACTAAAAACCACATTTTGAAATCACAATTAAAGATAATATACTAATTTCTAAAATAAAATATTGTTATACAGTCAAACTCCGCTATAGTGAACCTTCAAGGGACCGATATTTTGGTTCACTATAACCCGGAGCTCACTACATCTGTTACGCAGGCAATTTAATTAATGGTTCCATTACTCCTTTCTTTTATTACACAGTAATTAAATAAATTACTGAAATATATTATAGTAGCGAAAAATGTGTTATTTTTCATTGCTCTTCGTCTTGCTTACAAAGAAAAAATTAGTAATCTTAAGCTGATAAGCAATCCTCAACATCAGATATGGAAACATTTCCTGACTCTCAGATAATTTTTCCTGAATTTCTGTTATTCCGCTTTTTTAACCTGTCTAACCTGCCATTCAAGCACATAAAAGTAGTCTCCTAAAATTGCTTAGCAAATTCATCGACATTTGTCCAGATACTGGAAGATTGCAGCTTCTTTGAATGCTGAAGCACTTCAGTAATGCTTCTTCAACATCCTTGTGATCTGCTTTTCTCAACTTTTTTCTGCCATCTAAATTTTTTTCATGAGTAGAAATAATTAATTGCCTATTTTTCCACATGCTACAAGCTGCAGATTTGTAAAGTTTATATTCCCTGCAAATATCAGCTTGATTGCATTCATTTCAATTTTTCTGATTATGCCCATTTTATCATCAATGGAGAACGTTTTACGTTTACTGCTCGCCATAGTTAAATTTGAGACACTTTGTTTACAGCCTTTTTTAAACTGAACTGAGAGCAAAAAGGAGTTGAAATGAAGGCCTTATCAACACATATTAGTGTCCAACCCTTTGACCAATAATGAATAATTTACTCATTCCCTCTGACAGAAAATGCATATTAATCCCACTGAAACCTTACAGGTGCATTATCTGCCTGGGTTGGAAATATCTGCTTAGTTTGTTTAGGGATGGGAAAGTGAGATAAAAGAAGCTTATCGCTAAATTCCTCTCTATAGATGACTCTAAAAATCGGTATACGTATTTATTTTAAAGTAAAAATTTCAAAATTATTACAAAAAAATGAAGAAGAAAATCAGTCGAAGACAGAAAAAAGTTCATTATATCCAAATTCCTCACTTTTTGGTTCACTATATCCACAAAAAATAACATTATAAGTGTATAGCAAGGCACGGGATCAAACATTTCATTCACTATATCCGGGAGTTCACTATAAACCATGTTCACTATAGCGGGGTTTGACTGTATATGAATACTGGAACACACTCTTACATAATATGATACATATGCAGATTTTAAAATTCTGTGTAAAACAATATGGAAATTGTTATTGTTTTAAAAAGTAGATTTGAAAAATTTTTTACTTCCTAGAAATACATTAAGTTTAATTTATTTAAATTCAAACTATTTCTATAAAACTTACAGCTAAAGATACATATTGATTGTTTTTTAGTTTTATTCCATCACTTTACAATGTGCATAAATTAACAAAACCCTAGTGATTATCGAGATTGCTATAAAATACAGTTGGAAATTCTGAAAAAGTGAAAACATTTAAAAAGATTCCATAAAGAGTCACCTAAATGTCTGCTCGGCAGCTGTGAAATTAGAGCTTGAGAAGCTTTCGCACCATAAGGCTGAACATAACCATATTCATCTTCATGATATTCCACTAAACATAAATTAAGATAATTTTATGTCAAATGAATGTTATTTCAATAAAAGTATAGTTTAGGAAAATATTTTTTTTTTTAAATATCTAACAAAATCTGGGAAAATTTGACAAAATTTAGATTGAATTGTTTAAATTTCATTAAAATTGTCAATAGAAAAAACTACAAGAAATTTTTTTTTTATTGTGATTTTGTTTTGGGTGTCAATAAGATAAGAATAAAATATTTCCCCCCCCTTTTTTTAATACATTTTCATTGACTACAATGTTTTCAAATCTTTGACATACGAGGTGTGAGAAATAACTGGACTAATAGCTTTGTTAAAAACATTATTAGTTTATTAGTCCCCTCTTTCCTATCAATACAGTCCATTGTTCAAAACAGGTCATTAGATGATACCTTTAAGAAGTATTTTGCCACATTTGAAATCTTAATGATGTAAAATTGCTTTTTATATGAGTCTGCAGTACCGTACAAAAACCACAAAAATTTCATAAATCTTTGTCAAAACAAAGAGGATTTTTATGGAATTGAGGCATTTTTACGCAGATGGAAAAGGCATTTGTTACAGTATAGGTAGGAGCAGTTTGAGGAACTGTTATCAATCGTTGATACTCAAAAGTTCCAAGCATTCAACCCTCTGAACTGTTTCCAAATGCAAATAAAAATAAATTATTTTTCAGACTACTCATATAATTGAAGTAACTTCTCATATTATTCATTGTTCTTTTTCAAGAAATTGCTGTGTATGTTGCATGCCCATAGAAATAAGTGGAGGCTTGTCCAGTCAAGGATAAATCAAAGTTTTTTCCTTCATCCAAATATCCAAGAAAATCAGACATTTTGACCATACCTAAAATATTAATTTTATGTCATGTAATTTCTTTTTTTTTTTTTTAGTATATATGGTTTATGTCAATGTTAAACTACAAATTATTATTTTCTTTTTTTCATCGTGATTTCAAAGAAATATCAACTTGAAATTCGGCACAAACATTGCTTAAAAAAGAATTAAATATTTACTCTTTCAAAATATAAAATTTCTTAATTTTAAAATGTAAGTTTNGTCAATGTTAAACTACAAATTATTATTATTTTCTCTTTTTCATCGTGATTTCAAAGAAATATCATCTTGAAATTCGGCACAAACATTGCTTAAAAAAGAATTAAATATTTACTCTTTCAAAATATAAAATTTCTTAATTTTAAAATGTAAGTTTTATTAAAAAATATTTTTAAAAATAATTTGACCATGTTATTTTAAATAGTCTAATTAAAAACAGAACAAAATTTGACTCCCTCGGTCAAATAGTTTGAGTTACAGCTGTTTAAAAATTATGAAATTGGAAATAATTTAGAAATTTTCAAAGTTTTAAAACTCAGAACATAATAATTCAAAAAATGGCAGCTTTGTGAAATGGTAACTAAAAGGCGGAAAGGGAAGAAATTTTTACTTACAAAAGGCTGAAGATCTCATCTTGTATATATAAAATAACAAACAATGAGGTCATATTCACAAAATTTGTATACATAATTATTTTATAATAAAGAAAATGAAATACCAATTTTTTATTAATTGCAAGCATGTTCTTAAAAAAAATTTTGTGAACTAAAAAAAAAAAAAAATAAATGAAAAGAGATAAAATAAAATTTACAATTTCCAAATCTTCCATCATCATCTTCTTCGGAATTTTGGAAATTTAAGCTTTTACTTGGACCAGCCATTTGATCATATATCCTTAAAATAAAAGATGACAAACATTAATATATTATATTTATCTATTAAGGGTCATAAAACTTCATTAATAACATATTTAGAGCTTAGAAATATACATGGGCCTTCTCGTTTTCTTGTAATTCAGTAATGGCTATTATAGCTTAAAGCAGTGAAATCTTTTGATCATATCACTCGACTTTAGAACTTATTCAATCATATTGGTTTTAGTCTCAAAGTAGTACGAATATTCAAATAGATACCTAAAAGGATGGATTGATGAGAACTTTTGCAATATTACGAAAAACTTATCTCTTTTTGTAATCCCTGTGACACGGCTTTATAGTAAAAAAAAAATTATCATTAGATTTATCAGCTATAACTGTGCCAATCTAATATGAAAAGCTGATGACAAAGGAATTCAATCGCAAAAATTATTAAGAGCTTCATGCTCTAGGCACATCATCAAATAATGCTGATAGCAACTATAACAATGAAACCATCAGAGCAATTTGTAAACAAATATGAGAATACACTAAAAAAGAGAATTAAATGCAAATTAAAGAAAGATAAATCTTATCTGATACACATGCCCGTATTACAGCAAATGTAATTCAGAAGAATTGCAGCGTATTGGTTAGTTTGAAAACAAATTAGGTGTGTTATAAACATTCAGTTTCATAAAATGAAAAGCTGTTTTTCAGTTTATTTTTAGAAAAAATCTATAATTATAATGTTTTAGAAACTCAATTGTCTGAACAAGTTTTAGCAAAACAAAAAAAGTCTCAAAGTTTCATTTACTGAGACATTTTTGCTACGTAACAGTAAAAAAAATCAACGGAATTCCAATCTTTGACCATATTTATGGATTTTAGATACCTAGTTTGGCTCTACTCTCAGAAAGTTTACAAAATACACTTTCGCAATCAAAGTTTAAGAAAAAAATATATATAATAAGAAAGTTAGAAAAATTAAAACAGCATTCCGTACTTTTCACGAATACTTAGTGAGTTTCACGATATTATGCAAAACGATATAAATTATTTTTTACACCTTATAAGCACAAGTGCATCAAATATAAAACTGAAATGTAAACTTTGAACAGGAAATTTACTTGATAGCCTATTTCTTCTCATTGTTATTTCTTCTGAGCTTCTGAGTTATGAAAATAAACTAATTTAAGGCTTTACTACCAGCGTATTTGTTTTCTAGAGCAGCAGTCTTCGTATAGGCAGAATTGAGTAGCTAGAAGCTTAATTTGTAAATAAAGTGATAATTTCATTGTTAAATGATAATTTTTTGAATTAACGAAATATATTGACTAGTTTCTTTCTAAATATTTCAAAAGTGAATTACCAGAACATGTGAAATGCTTTAACTAACAGAATTAAGTTTTGATTTTTTAAGATTTTATGCCAAACTTATCACGCTAAAGGTTAGACTTAAAGATTCTTTTACTTTCTATGTAAAAATTATTTTCTAATTTAGTCGAACTGAAATTTGCACATTATGAGGGGGATATATTTGTTTCCATGACCACTTATCTAGTTTTTAGATAAGTAACGCTGTTGGAGATACGCGTTATCTCTTACTTTCAGATAACAGCTAGGTGCAAATAAATCCGAAACTTTTTTCTTCCTTTTGAGCTTTTGTAACGTCACGTTGTTGTTTGTTATGGAAATTCATAACAAATGAGTAACAGTAAAAGTACCGGTGTCAGCTATGTCCAAGTCATTCAAGTTCGTATAATAGTGTACATTCAATTATAAAATCTTCATCATACAATGCAATTATCATATAGTAAGAAAGATGTATAAGTAGACAATTTTTTCATTTTGTTCTGATTGGAGAGAAAAATCTTATTGTTTCTTACGTTAACTTAATGATTTCATTCGTCACTGTTTAAATAAAAATTTAGGATAGTTTTCTGGATATTGAATGGAGAATCAATGTCACATTCATTTTTCATTAATGAAGTGATTCTTTATGTTGTATCTTTTTATATATCATCTTACTGATGTGTCCTATTTTTTAGAATGATTACTGAGCAGTATATGTACATAGCTTACATTTTGTTTTATTTATTATTTTTACATTTTCAGTCTAGAGCATAATAAAAGTATTTATAAGAGAAGATATCTCATCCACCATTTATTAGTGTTGATATGAGATAAATAAAATAATGTCTTGGTTAATACGTGTGATAGCTAGTGAAATTTATGATGCATCCTACAATGTTCTATTTGATTCTATCAAACTTCACTTTAAATGTGAAAGCATAAATTGATAACAATGCATTAAACATTTGATCTTGTATTGGCACATTTTTATAAAAATATGAGTAACATTATTAATAGCTTTAATATTGTGATTCATATTTTTTCAATTGATTTTAAATATTTAAGTAAACAGAAAACATTAAAAAACTGGGAGATTTTACATATGAAGGGTTTATATTTAGTTAATTATTTGCCAAAAAGAAGGGGGAAAAAACTAGTCTTAACATGTAACATATCTTGAAATTAATCATTGTATTTCAATTTGTTTTTTTTTAGTGTGATTTAATCTTTCATAAATTCTTATTTCTGTTTATAATATCCAATACTATTTTCTATAATTATGTACGTTTTGAAAATTTAAAACTATTTTCCTAACTAAAAAATACTTATTAGAAATATATTTTTATTTTCAAAATTTCATGAAGTTTTACCTAATTTATTTTATAGAATTTATCACGCAAAACAGTCTGCTATTACTGTTTTTACTGCAGATAAATTATGTAAATATATTATTAATTAATTATGTAAAAATAATACTTTTAATACGTATAGATCTTTCTCTGATCCATATGTGTGGTTTTAAACAATTACACTCTTACTTCTGAATGTCTTTTTTTTTTAAAAAAAAAGTAAAAGAGATTACCTACTAATTGTTGTTCTTCCCAAATTCAACCTATTGATATCACAAAATAAAAGATCATACCATACACATGCCTTACTATCCTTTTATAATAATATTTCTGTGCTGTGTTTTATTGTTTTAAAGTTGAGTCTTTCAAACCTGTCGAGTTTTTAGATTTGTATTTTTCCATACTCATTGAAAACAAAAATTTTAAAAAAAATACATTCAGTCAGCAGAAGATAGTGAAAGTGCAAAAAAAACGAAAGAAAAATTCTTACTTACTACTCCAGTCATCCAGGTTTTTTTTTTCTTCCTTTGATTGATTTTTATTTTCTTAATTTTTTTCTGCAATTTGTTTAGTATTGTTGTTTTTCTTTTTGAAAACTAGTTTTGCAGACTTTTGAGAGCTTTCCTGTGAACAATTTACTATTAAACTTGAGAGCCTGCATTTGTTTTAAGCATGTTCATCAGTATACTAAGCTTTTTTTTTTGTTAATAAGATTATTAAAAAAAAGAAGCTATTAGTGAAGAATTTTATCGAAAAAAAAAGCATTTATGAATTTTGTATAGACTAAAATATTTTTTTTTAAAAATTTACAAATGAATCTTTAGCAGTGATTTTTTTTTCTAACTTTCTTTTCCAAATCTATTTTAAGTAATGCTTTGAAATTCTATTGAATGCATCAATGAAGCCGCAATGCAATGTTTTTGTTTTTAAAAAAGTGAGAGGGTTATTGTAAATAAACAATAATAATAGCAACAAATAAGTTTTTTATACTTCTGAGTGTTTCTAAGCAGTGTTGGCATGATTAAAGTTGCAATTTAAATCAACTAAGATTTTTTTTAAATATATTATTGATTTAAACCAATTGGTTTTTTAATAATTCATTAAGCCAAAAATATTTTTCTAAATATATTCTTTAGTAGGGGTGCTCAACCTGCGGCCCGCAGGCCAAATGCGGCCCGCGGCAACAATCTGAACAAAATGAAAAAAAAAAAAATTAATATTTGTTTTTGAAAAATAATAAAAAAAATTCGGTAATTTACATTTACACTTTTGAGTTTTTGACGCACCCAATCTCAATCAATGTAGTTTTTTTTATGGTTAACGCTACGGATTTCAGCATAGTTTTAAAAATCCCAATATTATTAATACATCATTATTACGATTTACGAATTTTAATTACCACTTTTGACGCTTTTCGTATGTGCCGATTCCAATGNTCGGTAATTTAAATGTACACTTTTAAGTTTTTGACGCAACCAATCTCAATCAATGTAGTTTTTTGATGGTTAACGCTACGGATTTCAGCATAGTTTTAAAAATCCCAATATTATTAATACATCATTATTACGATTTACGAATTTTAATTACCACTTTTGACGCTTTTCGTATGTGCCGATTCCAATGACTTTTCGGTAGTTAATGCTACCCATTTTCAAGTAGTTTCTGAAATAGCGATTTTTGAAAGTTATGAAACGCTTTATTTGTGCAAACTTCATGGAAAATCTAAAGGACTTTAGATCCTATTTTCAACAGTTATTGCTGCACATTTCCGCCCGTTTTTTAAAACTTTGATATTTTAGCACGATATTATTACGAATCGCGAGTAAAGAATCGCTCATTTAGATAACCATTTTTTGACATGGCTTATTTGTAACGATTTTATCGCAAATCAAATTATTTTTCTATCGTTATTTTAGAAATTATTACTACCCATTTCTACAAGGTTTTGAAAGTACCGATATTTTTTTATACCCTATTGCAGCATTTTAATTTCAAATCCCGCATTTTATTGTTTTAGTAGTTATTATGTTTTCCCCGTGATTGCACATTATGATATTTTTAATACTATGTTTTGAATCGCGCATTAAAATAATTATTTTTTACGTGCTCTGTTTGTGCCGATTTTATCATTTGCGTTGTACTGATTTTAACACGCATTTTTAAAGAGGTTTTTCGAGCGGGTTTATTCTTCTTTCCCGTTATTGCTGCATTTTTATTTGTGATTTAGAATATACCTGATATTTTCACACAATATTACAACTCGTGAAATTCGATTCAGTTTTAATTTTTTTTCATAACTTAAAAAGTAATTGCGTATCTTAGCCAAATCAACACCTTCCCAGGAAAAAGAAAACGAGGTGTGCTTATATTAAACGCGGTCCGTTTTGCAAAAAAAATAATAATTCAAAACACGGCATAATTCTTTAGTTCCATGAACACGTGCAAGTTTAACAACACACATCGAACCTATTCTTTTTGTTGTCACATGTAATTTAAGAGTCATACATCGTAATTTGTATTTACGCTATCTGAAAATTGCGCATCGCATTTCGTATTAACATTAATGAGATTTAAAAATAATCCTTCGTATTTACGGGATTTAAAATCACATATCGTGATTCGTGTTCTGGCGTTTAAAATATCATCCATTGCGACTTTTCTCGCAATTCATATGCATGCGTTTTAGAATCCATATATCGCAATTCATATTCATGCATTTTAAAAATCAAGTGTTGTGAGTAGTCCTTTCGCAATTTAAAAGCCACACGATTGGTTTCACGCGATTTGAAAAACAACCATCCAGTTTTTTATTTACGCAATTTAAAAATCACACATGGCAATTCGTATTCAAGCAATTAAAAAATAACACATAGCAATTCGTATTCAAGCAATTAAAAAATAACACATCGCTATTTGTATTTCCGCGATTTAAAAACCCAGAAAGGAAGAACACCATCTAGGACAAATTCCAAAACTGATTATGTTATTTGCTCTAAGTTTAATACTACCCACAACAACAGCTTCTGTCGAAAGACTGTTTTCCAGAATGAATTTGGCCTGTTCAAAATTACAGAGTAGTCTTTAAATACAATCATTACATTTTCATTTAATGGCTCAAAAAATATCACATGATCAAGTAGATAAAATTATCACAATATTCAAAAATTTTGCAAATTACAGTATAACCATTAAGAAATTTTTTAAACCATTTTCTACCTTCTTGGAGCATTTTATATCATTTATGATTATATGCTGGGAAATGATTTGTATATCATTAAATTTTAACTGTATAAAAAATTTAATCAAGATAAGTTTCGTAAAGTAATGTAAATTTTATTGATTGTTAATTGATTGTGTATTAATTGTAAATAGTAAGTGTCATGTTAAAAATATATTCGTCATAAAAAGTTGTAAACAAGTATCTTAATAGTTTTTTATTATTAAGGAATATAGTTCCTTAAAATTTAATGTGTTTTCTTTCTTTCTTTTTCTTCCCTCTCTCAGCCTCTTATTAATTTAAAATGAAAATGTCTGAAAGTTAAAGTACATTCCCTAATAAATGTTAAATCTTACTTTACACTTAAGGGGTTTTGTTTCAGTTTTAATCATTTTTAACCCTATAAACTTTCTTTAAATCAAAGTATTTAACTTGAATTTATATTAATAACTAGAATATTTATTTATTTCAAATTTAATTCTATGAAGAAAAAAAATTAAGGTTAAAATTTATGTTTAAATGGACTTTTGTATTTTGTAATGTGATTAAAAAAATTTCAATTTTTCCATAGTTTTTTAATTATTTCAATTTATCTAAATTTTTTCCGATAAATTGATTCTGATTTTCGAATTCTGTTTTCCTTCTTAAGTAATCAGTTTTGCATTTTCTAATTTTAAACGTTTTAAAGTATTGTATTTTCTGCAAAGAGATTACAAGGTTAACCGACAAAAAGAATTTAGTGTTATATAAACAATGATGTTTATATAACAATCACCACCAACAATTGCTTTCAATATGTCGGTCTAAACACTTTGGCATGCGGCCCTTCATTGGTCAATCTGCTGTGCATGTGGCCCTACACTGAAAAAGGTTGTGCACCCCTATTTTTTAGGGTGTGATTTTTTTTAAAGTTTAATTTAATTGATAATGAAAGTTTTATCCAAAGAAATACTAGTAATAGGGTTAATTATGTTTTTTTTTAAATAAACAAATAAATAAAATTACAAACTAAAAGTGGAAAAAAGTAATGTTAAGCTGTTCAATTATAATTTTTCTATCTAATTACATTTGGTAATTTTGCATTATTTTTTAATGCATCAATACTCTGAAAGATTTAGCCTTTGATTTTTTTTAAAAAAATACTTGTTTTGTAGCTCTATTGTTTTGAGTCATAAATTAATGATATTTGTATAATTATCAAAGCTATAACCATGACTATTCCAAAATTTCCAGATTTTGGGTATTTTCTCAGGATAGTGGTAAACACCCGTATAAAAATACCGTATCCTTTGGGTATTTACCTGACCCATACTTGTATGTAATGTGATAGAAGTCTTTAAACTTTTTAGTCCAAGAAGAATACTTCATAAAAGGGTCATACATTATGAATACTACATCTAAAAAGGATTCATGAGGAACAGGTTCATTCCCATCTATAGCTAAAGATATTTAAAAGAAATATACTCCTTCTGCATAATTCTCGAATGGTTTGAAGCATTTTCCAAAACAATTTGATCATTTTGCATCACACTTTGACTAATTTGCCCAATAACTAACTTATCAGTTACTGTGCTAAAATATAATTAAAACAAACTTTAAAACATCAAATACCTACCATATCTATGCCCATTATTGAGTCTAATAGGCCCATTTTGATCCATTGTTTGGAGAGCCTAAGAGGAACTGAAAAATGTTAAAAAAGTAAAATGTTTGGTAGCTATTTATCACACTTGTTTTTTTTGTAATGCCATCATTTTATTTATGATGTTGAACAAAAAATTTTGTAAATTTTTTGCATATTACCAATAAGTGCAATGCCTTAGTCTGAAAAATTAATAGCTTTAAGGATGGTTAAATTTTTTAAGCAGTAAAAATTATAAGAAAAATGTTTAATGCAACAAATCTAAACAGTGCAAGACAAAAATGAAAGTGGCTAAATAAAAAGGAAAGATCTATGGTATCTGAAGTTTTGTCTTTGTAGGTCCTGTATTTATCTCAGGTAGAACTTTATTTAGTATGAGGTTTATTGCTACTTTATCCTAATCATTTTGTTAAATAATATAAAGTATGAATAGTTCCTTTTCTGAAATCTTTAACTCATCCATGGTGTATTAATTAATTTAATTAATTTTTTTATCTTTCATTAAATTCTGCTTAAGAACCTGTATTAAATCGATTGATATATTCATAAAATTGTTCGTGTGGTATTTTTTTAAAGTGACTTCGCTCCTTGGGGGCTTTTTTTTTTTTTTAGTGTTGCCCTTTTGGTGCCTTTTTTTTTCTATGCTCTTTTTTCTTCTTCTGCATTTAATAACACGGCTATGCAAAATCATAAACAAAATTCTAATTCCTGACTTTTGCATCAATTTTTCAAAACCTTAAAAATGAATTATTTCATTTAAAAGTGTAACAGTGGATTAATAAAAAAAGAGGAAGGGATACAGCCTAACAGAATATTCAGCTAAATTGGCAAGTGTCCCAATGCATCCCTAGCAGTAAGCGTTTAAAATAAATAATTCATAAGTATTGGATATGCCCTAATTGCAGAACATCCAACTGCAAGTGTAGTGCAACATATTAAACAATTTGTGCAAATTTTTTGAATTTTGCAATTTTTAAGGAAAGTAAAAAGAGAACACATAGTTTTAAGTACGCTCTCAATTCACAGAAGTGCAATGTTCAAAAAAAGATGATTAACTCTAATTGTTGGGAATTATTTTGAAAATATAGTAACTTTTCTTAAAAAAGTTTTAAATATTATTTTTTGTGACCTTTTCCTTATCTACTATATAAATTAATATTTTTTTTCCACTTGTACACAGGGCATTCTAGCAACTTTTCTCTACTTTCTCCTTCACATTTGTTTAGAGCTAGTATGGTTCCAAATACAATTAAATTTAATTAAAATGGAATAAGAAAATATAACATTTATTTATTTTTATTTTTTGAAAGTGTATGGTCTAAATTTACCTTTAAAAGAATTTCATTTGACTCAGACCTGAGGTACTACTATTATAGTTTATATTTACTTTTTTAAATTATTAAACAATTAAAATTTTGTTTTTTGTGTGAATTTTAAATAGTTTTAGCTGTTTAAACTTTAATTTAAATATCCTTTCAGAATTCATTTGAAATGACAGATCCTCGCCATGACTATTCTCCATCCTTTGGACAGATGGCTGATAAACCTCTCTTTGGAGTTTCCAAATGGCAAGTAAGTCTGCCCTAAGCATCTTCATTAAATTTTTAGAACTGATTGTGATTACCAACTGATAGTTAGTTCATCTAGTGTAACTATCTTTCTATGAAAGCTGAAGATAGCATTTTCATCTCATATATCTAGGTTTCATACCAGTATGGTGACAATTGTCTCCAAATCATCAACAACAAATTGACCAATATCATATGCATGAGTGACAGTTTTATCAACAAATAATGTCATTAAATATTAAGTACCAAATTACCATTAAAAATTAAATACTAAATATTAAATATATTTTTATGACTTTTTATTCTGATGTAAAAAGATTCAATATTTATTTTCTCATATTAAAAAATAACTACTGTAAGAAATTTGCTTCTGACAATAATCAGTTTTAAATGCACAAAATTTTAACTTTTTGACAAATATGTGCATTTCTCAATTTATTTTAAGTGTTAAAAAATGCTATGACATTACAAAGTCACAATGTTAGAAACTATTTGGGAGCCCATAGTAATAACTGTGGGAAAAGTGATAGTTAAAAGCACATGCTTTTATGGTAAAATTGTCTGAAATCAGCAGTGAAATTAGTGAGGTTGCTTTTACAAATGCTTAATTCAACATTTTCGTATTATAAATAATACCATATTTGAAAAAAAATGGATTTTTAATTTCTATGGATACAATTAACTGACAAAAAAAGAAATCTAAAAACTATATAGAATTTACAATGGAATCATTACACATTAAGTTTGCTATAATATTGTATAAAAACAGGATTTTAAAGCCATATAGAGTTTAGATTGTTAGAATGTTTTGAATTGAAAATTTAACTTTTAAAAATATGTTTAAATAGAGCTCTTGTAATGTGCTCGACATGAAATTGAAATCTTGGCATCATTTGAGTGACCAGAGTGATCAAACTACTATTTCTTTATTTTTAGCAGCAGCACTCGATACATGTATCATTGTATGTTGATACATGCATTGATACATGTATACGCTGGAGAGTGAAAACACTCCACACAAGCATACTAAGAGAATAAACATAAATTACTAATATCCAATTAAAAAAACATTACAGTATTGAAAACATTAGAACATAGAAAAAGTATTTTAAAAAATATATATTAAAAACATTAAAAAAAAAAAGAATGCCATTCAGTTAGCAGGGATTGTAATAACTCAAGTGCCCTCAAGTATCTGTCGTAGTTGTTTTCTACCACTGCTCGGCAAACCCCCAGTTGCTCAGCATTCATCAGGGCGTCCTCCTTGCACAGAATGCAATTTGGGTAAAGAGGATACTTAAGTCTGTAGTGGTGAGCAGCAAGTGCTAAAGGTCGTCAACCTAAACTCAGTAACCACATTCCGTCTTGAGTGATCTGGGATTCTATGTAGACTTTCCTTTCAAGTCTTACCACCAATTTGTTCATTTAAATTATTCTCATAGTCCTTATTGATGTTATTTTTAATTCTTCTGTTTATAAATAAATAATGTATTTCTCTCTCGAAGCACTGCAAGATACCATTTTCAGCTAGGACATCAGCCATCTCATTTCCAAATATATTACAATAGTGTCATCTCATTCTCATATATGATAAAACTATAGATGCCCCTCCTTAGGCATAGATGTGATGTTATGTGCAATCATTGATAAGTGACTTTTAATGTGTGCATAATTTGTGTAGCTTTAACTTTTTAAAATTTTTTTTTTTGCCTTGTTATATTTTTGGTCACTAAATGATTACCTTAGTGTAGAAGTGCACAACCAGCGGGCCACGTGTGGCCCGCCAACCCTAAATGTGCGGCCCACTGCCGCAATATGAACAAAATGAAAAAAAGAAAATAATTAAATGTTTTTTTTTTTTTTTTCGGATATTTGAAATAATGCATTTAAGTTTTTGACGCACCCAATCTCAATCAATGTAGCTTTTCAACGGTTAACGCTACGAATTAGCACATAGTTTTACAAATCCCAATATTTTTAATACGTCACTATTACAATATACGAATTTTAGTTATCACTTATGACGCTCTTCGCCTGTGCCGATTTCATCGTAAATCCAATGACTTTTCAGTAGTTTTTTCTACCCATTCTCACGTAGTTTCTGAAATTTCGATTTTTGAAAGTTATAAAACTCTTCATTTGTGCAAACTTCATGGGAAATCTAAATGACTTTTAATCCCTTTTTTGGCAGTTATTGCTACGTATTTCCATGTGTTCTTATAATTTCGATATTTCAGTACGAATCGCGAGTAAAGAATCGCTTATGTAGCAATTTTTTGACGTGGTTTATTTGTACTGATTTTATTGTAAACCTAATTATTTTTCAATCGTTAATTTGGCAATTATTGTTACACATTTCTACAAGATTTTAAAAGTCTCTTTATTTTCGATACGCTATTGTGACTTTAATTTCGAATCCCACCTTTAAATGCATAAATTTTTGACGCAATTTATTTAAGCTAATTTCATCATAAATATAAAGGGATTTTCATATTTTTTTTGGTAGTTACTACAATGCTTTTCCCTGTGATAAAAAAAAACTGATATTTTTGACTGCACATGAGTTTGGAATCACTCATTAAAATAATAACTTTTTACGTGCCATATTTGTAACGATTTTAACATAAATATAGGAGGTTTTTCGAACGTGTTTCTTTTTCTCTTTCCTGTTATTGCTGAATTTTTTCTTGTGATTTAGAATATCCTGATATTTTAACACCATATTATAACTCATGAAATTAGATTCTATTATAAATTTTTTGTAGCATAAAAAGTAATTACGTATCTTAACAAAATCGATACCTTCCTGAAGAAAAATGAAAATAAAAAACCAAAAAACGTTAAAGAAAAACAAAAAAAAACCCGAGATGTTTACATTTATATTAAACCCGGCCCCTTTTGCAAAAAATAATTCAAAACTCGTGCATATGCAAATTGTCCCATGAACATGTGCAAGTTTAAGAACACACACCCAAACTATTTTTTGTTGTCACATGATTTAAATATCACATATTGCGATTCGTATTTACACGTTTTAAAAATCGTATGTTTTGATCTTTTTTGTAATTAAAAAGACACTCATCATAATTCATGTTTTCGAGATTTTCAAATTGAACATAATTGGACATAGTAATGCGTATTTATGCGATCTTAAAATTGGACGTTGCATTAACATTAACGAGATTTAAAAATCATTTATCGCGATTCATATTAACGAGATTTAAAATCGCGATTCATGTTCTGGCTTTTAAAATATCATACATTGTTATTCTTCTCGCAATTCAAAAATCATACACCGCGATTCATATTAACGAGATTTAAAAGCGCGATTCGTGTTCTGGCTTTTAAAATATCATACATTGTTATTCTTCTCGCAATTCAAAAATCATACATCGCGATTCATATTTCTGGGATTTAAAAACCACATATCGTGTCACATAATTCACTCATTTTAAAAATCATACGTTGTGAGTCATCTTTTCGCAATTTAAAAACCACGTATCTTGATTCGTATTCACGCGATTTGAGAACGACGCATTGCGTTTCTTATTTACAAAATTTAAAAATCACTCATAGCAATTAGTATTCAAGCAATTTAAAAATAACAAATTGCTATTTGTATTCACATGATTTAAAAATCGGGAAAGGAATAACACCTTCTAGGACAGATTCCAAAACTGATTAAGTTATTTGCCCTAAGTTTAATACCAGCCACAACAACAGCTTCTGTCTAAAGACTGTTTTCCAGAATGAATTTTGCCTGTTTAAAATTACAGAGCAGTCTTTAAAGAAAATTATTAAATTTTCATTTAATGGCTCAAAAAAGCTATCACATGATCGAGTAGATAAAATTATCACAATATTTAAGAGTTTTGCAAATTACAGAATAACCATTAAGAAATTTTTTAAACCATTTTCTAAGTACTTAGACCATTTTATATTAGTGATACTATGCTGGGAAATGATTTGTATATCATTAAATTTTAACTTTAAAAAATTGTTTCGAAAAGTGCCGTAAATTTTATTAATTATTAATATATGTTTGTATTAATTGTAAATGTTATGTTAAAAAAATATTCGTCGTAAAATGTTGTAAACAAGTATCTTTATAATTTTTTATTATTAAGGAAAATAGTTCCTTCAAAATTCATGCTTTCTTTCTTTCTTTCTTTTTCTTCCCTCTCTCCGCCCCTGCCTCTTATAACTAATTTGAAATAACTATTATAAAGTTAAAGACTATTCCCTACTAAATGCTAAATCTTATTTTCCGCCGAAGAGGTTTTGTTTTAATTTTAATGATTTTTAACCCTATAAACTCTCTTTAAATCAAAGTATTTAACTTGTATTTATTTTAATAACTAGAATATTAATTTATTTTTAAATTTAATTCTATGAACAAATTTTATAATGTTAAAATTTATGTTTAAATTTTTTTCTGATAAATTGATTCTAATTTTCCTTAAGTAATCAGTTTTACAGTTTCTAATTTTCAGCATTTAAAAGTCTTTAATTTTATGCAAAGATAATACAAGGTTAATTGACAAAAAGTATTTAGTGCCTAGAACAATGATGTTTATATAACAATTACTACCTACAAGTGCTGTCAATATGCCTATCTTAATACTTTGGCATGTTGCCCTTCATTGGTCAATCTGCTGTGCATGTGGCCCTTCACTCAAAAAGGTTGTGCACCCCTACCTTAGTGATATTTTCATACCACTATATTTTCATTGTTGATATGAACCCGACATATTTTCTAAACAGTGACAAAATGACTGTGAAATACCCTTAAATATTATTCTAAAAAAATTGCCGCTTTTTTTTTTTTTTTTTTTTTTCTTTTGAAAAAAAAAAGACACAACTGACAAGTTTATCCCATGATTAGTGATCATATTTACAGTTAATTTAATGAGTTTGCACCTTTTTTGTTGAAAGTAGCTAACCGCAGGAGACTATTTTTTTTACTGCCATTAAAATTTAATGATATTTTTATGTAATTAGTTTTTATTTTATTGTAATTATTTTTATATTAATTAATAACAATCAACATGTTTTTTATTTAAAAGGAAATTATTTAGATTTTAACACAAATTCCAATTTTTGGAGAAATAATCTAATTCTTTCTTTATTTATAATTTTTTTTTTTATTTATATTGCCTTTTTTTTAAAATTATTACTGTATATACCGGCGCATAACGCGCCCTGGCGTATAACGTGCCCCGGCGTATAATGCGCACCCGTAATTTCTAATAACTTTTTTTAAATTTTAAGATATACTCTTCGGATAACGCGCATGAAAATTTGGATTGTACATGTGCAATATCTCGTCTAGTATCTATAGAAAACCAGAAAGCCTTTCAGTGTGGGACATGTTTAGATCCCACCTTACAGATAATGCAAAAAAAAATTGTTGAAAGAATGTAACACCGATGTGGCAGTTATTACGGGCGGATTGACACCATTAGTTCAGCCATTGGACNTAAAAAATTTTTAGTTAGCTTGGTAACTTTCGTAAAGCCCTGTATACGCTCTTAAGCGAAGCGAAGCTTAACCCCGACCCGCCTCCGAATGGAGGCACCCGGGGATACTGGTGGCTCGATGTGCAAAAACGTGACTACTCAATACAAAGAGAACTCAGAAAAGTGCTTGGCAACGAGAATCGGCGTCACATATCGTCGACGGGTGGCCCCCGTACCGAAGTCTCCGCCAGAAAAGGGGGTGGAGCACGGGTGAAATTGAAACGAGTCCAAAAAGAAAGGGGTTCGTATGTAAAACGCAAGGTGTTTGGTACCTAGTCGAGGTGTCGACCCCGCAGAGCAGCAACCGCAACCCACTCGACTCGTCCTCCTCCTAAAAGGCTGCAAAAATTNACGGGTAAAATTGAAACAAGTCCAAAAAGAAAGGGGTTCGTATGTAAAACGCAAGGTGTCTGGTACCTAGTCGAGGTGTCGACCCCGCAGAGCAGCAACCGCAACCCACTCGACTCGTCCTCCTCCTAAAAGGCTGCAAAAATTTATTAAGAGCAAACATGTTACAGAAGTAGATCAAAAAAGATACAAACAACAAAAGAGGAACAGGTACCAACAATTGCGGTCAGGAGACAGATGTAAAGAAGATTCGATACAAAACAGTGAGGTTTACAATAGAGACAGGTGATGACAAATCAAAGAAAGCAGGTGAAAAGAAAACACATAATTCACAATAACCATTGATATGTATTTACAAATGCAGTGTGTTGACAATGAAAAGATGAACGATGAAAAGCAAAGTAAAGATGTCGCATATATTCGACAAGAGGTGTTCAAATGCTGATACAGTCAAAGCTTAAAGGCTATCATCAGTATGAGGTATACAACAGTAAGTACATGTAATTGAGAGTTCGGTCATAGGACAGATGGAAAGAAGCCAAAGTATCACATAGAACACAATAACATTAATTGTAAATTTACAGATGCAGTGTGTTGACGATTTTAAGGAGAACAGATGTAGAGATGTTGGATGTTTCACATATTCGAAAGGTGTATATATACAGATGCTGTTTATAATTAAGGCCATCACCAATTTAAGAAATATGGCGATGAATACATATACTAGAGAGTTCGTAAAGAGAACAGATGGAAAGAAGCCACATTATACATATTTCACAATAACATTAATAAAGAATTTACAGATGCAGTGTATTTACAATGTCAAAGAAAACAGATGTAAAGATGTCACATATTTTACAAAGTCGAAAATTATGTATATACGGGTGCAATTTATATTTACAGGCTATCATCGGTGTAAGATATACGGCAGTAAAGTTATATACAAAATATTTTGGTCAGTGGACAGATGAAAAGAAATTCCCACACAGAGACTCGAGAAGAAGGGTAGTTATTTCTGGCATTTAAGATGTTTAAGATATTTAAGACTTAGATGGGCTCAAATTAACTAGGTGTGTACAAAATTTCAGGTGTATTTCTTTCAAAATGTTCTCTTATGATTTCAATGATGCCCTGTTTGATGCGTTCCTGTTTCCAACTCTGGGTTAGTAAATCAAAGGTGAGGTAAGTTGGAAAAAAGCGATTTCTATGGATTTGAAAGTTAGGGCATTTTATAAGGATGTGTTCAAGATTATCAATTGTTCCGCAGGTTATACAGTTAGGGTTTTTCCCATGAAATCTTGCCTGATATTCGCGTTGAGTGCCATGGTTTGTTAANGTGTATTTTTTTCAAAATGTTCTCTTATGATTTCAATGATGCCCTGTTTGATGCGTTCCTGTTTCCAACTCTGGGTTAGTAAATCAAAGGTGAGGTAAATTGGAAAAAAGCGATTTCTATGGGTTTGAAAATTAGGGCATTTTATAAGAATGTGTTCAAGATTATCAATTGTTCCGCAGGTTATACAGTTAGGGTTTTTCCAATATACGCTCTTAAGAAGTTTGTTGTATTTTCTTTCTCATGATAAAGTTTTTGTCATTTATTACTTATTAAATGTTTTAAAAAGTAAATTGTATGAATTGTATCCTCTTTTTTTTCGTTCTAGGATCGTGTTATAAATACTACATCTGCAGTTTTCACATCACTTGTTGTAGGGGTAAGATTTTTCTGAATAAATTTTATTATTCAGTATATTCATATTATCATTTGTACATAAATTAGGGTACTTTTTTTTAACTAAGTGCAAGTAAATTCAGAAATTTTTATTTTATTTATTTATTTTTAGTGAGGAATGTCCATTTTGTTTTGTGTTTAAAAAAAACAAACATAATTAAAAAAAGTTGAATTTACCTCTATGCCTTTGCACTAAAGTACATAAATTAATATATTTATGTAACATATTTTATAATTTTCTTAAAATGTAGGATATCCGATTTTACAGTATATTGACTTTGTAAATAGGCATGGTATATATCATCATTTTAGTAATTTTTTCTCTCTTTTCTGTAGCATGAAAATAACAAGTTATGCTGCATTTAATATTTCTTAAACATTTTTTTTTTTTACTTTCTTTTTAACATTCCATCTGCTAAAGTTTGAATATTCTATCATTGAGTGCTGTAGCTTGTATAAGATTTCTTAACAGATATCACCTTTAAGTAGCATTGTTTACGCATTTATATTTTGTTCCAGGTTATGTATACACTTTTAGTATGAAATGTAAAGTTGACTTATTTTAATATGAACCCTAAGAGTTCCTTAAAATATTCAAATTGCCAAGAACATGATTTCCCCCTTTTCGCTTTTTTTTTAGCATTCATTGAATAAGTATCATGTAATCTAACACTCTTTGTTGTGTGCTTTGCATTTCAAAATTATGCTAATACAGTTTTAGAGTTATCAATAAATTCATGATTGTGTTTTGCTCTTCTAAAAATACTCTACCTGTAAAGACAAAAGAAAGGTTGTATCTGAATATAAAGTCATTTAAATGAATTTCCTACAAACAAAGGAAAGAAATTTCCAGATTAATGAGAATAAATGTCAGTTCAGTTTGAAAACTTACCTTTGTGTGATCCTTTAAAAATTTTATTTTCGAAATCAGGATTTCCTCTACATCATCAAATTATAAGGAAATTTGAGTGAATAATAAAATAATGACATAGAAAGTTCTAGAGATGTTTCCATCTTCAAACTAAAAAGTATGTCCAAAAAGTACTGAAGTGGTCTAGCGAAATATGTTCAAGGCGTTTTCGGAGAGTATGAACACTTCACCGATAGCAGCGAAAGAAAAATTTTTTTTTTAATTGTAGGCTGCACACACTGTAATCTTGAAGATTTTGTTTTTCTTTCAACGTCATCCATTATTTTTACAGTGAGCTTTGTTTGATTTACAGTGAACTCTCTTTGTTTGTAATGCCTGCATCAGTTCAGAATCCCATCAAATGTAAAGTGTGTTCCATAATATGTCTTCTTTGTGCTAAAGGTGAGTGTTCGGTGGATATTCATGATGAAGTTTTTTCTATTTATGGAAACATAAATAGGCAAAATATGGAGGAAAGGTGTCTGCTTTATCTGAAGGTAGGACAGTTGTTCATGACAAAATCAAAACAAATAGACCATCTGTGATCACTGATGCCCTGCTTCAAGAAACAGAAGAAGCAGTTTGAGCAAATAGCCATATTAAAAGATTTGCATTAAATCATACAAGTAGTGCTTATGACAACGCTTTGTGTAGCTGTTATCTTAGAGTACCACAAATTATGTGCACGATGGGTAGCAAAAATTGCAATGGAAGATCACGAAAGGAAAAGCCACGCACACGAGTTTCTTAATGGATTGAAACATGGTGTGAAAATGGTCTATCAAAAAATAAGGCATTTAGCAGTAAGTAGTGTACATTTAATAAATTAAAAACATTTTCAAGTGCGTTTATATCTTTATTTTTCATAAATGCATCACATCAAATTAAGAACATATAAAAATACACACAGTATGAAATATTTTCAGAAGATATATTCAATGATACTGAATTCGATCCCCTCATCTCTAAGGGTTGAGTAGTGTCAGCTTCAAAATCTTTAATAGTAACCTTCTTTTCTCCTACAGATCCAAGAAAAGCTCTGATAAAATTTAGGTTTTTACTTTTCAGTTCACAGTTGATGCTGTGATCACATAAGTAGAGAGTATTAAAGTAGATATATTTCAAATAACAGTGTTTTCATCATAGAAAAAAAATGGGTGAGAATTTCTCACCCTTTCTCAAAAACAGGGTGAGATTTCAGAAAGTTAAGTGAGATTTCCAAAAACTTAAAAAACACAAATAGACTTGGAAAAAAAATCATTTCTTTTATTATAATACATTTTTAACGTCTTCTATTTTTTAAAGCAATGAATATTCTTGCTGCATCATCATAGAAGATTTTGCCTTTACTAGGTATTTGTCCATCTTACATTAGTGCATAAAAAATTTGAACGTCTTACATGAAAAAACCTTACCTACGGTAAACACGTGGTTGCAGAGAAATGTGTTCTGAAAGGGGTATCGTGGTTCGGTTGTGTTCTATTGTTCGAAAAGGTTCTGAACAATACTGGTAAATAGGGAAGCTAGATAACGGAGCAAATGTTGAAAATAATGAAGATCCATGAAGAAAAGTGAAACGGATTTTATTCTAAATAGCGTAATTCGAAGCTTCCAAAATGCGAGAAATTCGCGAATTTTGAAATTGATTTATAGAATGCGCGAATTTCTCGCAGTAATAATTTTTTAATGCGAGAAAAGAAAAAAATATGCGAGATTCTCGTGCTGTAGTGAAAACACTGAATAATATATGTCTGATTAAAAAATGAAATTGATATTTTAAAAAATCATATGCCCCTTGAGATAACTTTTTTCTTATTTTAAAAAGTATTATCCAAAAAGTGATTTGAAAGTTAATCTTATTATTATTTTTAGGTCACTGTCATCAGTGCATTCATCTTCCCCCAGTGGCCGCCACAAGCTCTCAATATCTTCTATGCAATCTGCATTATGCTTATGTGTGTCTCACACATCACCCTGGTAATTATTTTTGCATATCCCTTAAAATTACGATAAAATTGGCGTAAATAAAGTATGTCAAAAAGTGGTTCTTTAAAACTTGTATATAATCTCTAATAATATCTTGATAAAAATATAGCATTTTCAAAATCACATTGAAAAGCGGAAATAACTGTTTAAAATTAATTTAAATTTACGATAATCTTGGCAAAAAAACTTGTTGATTTAATGGCGCAGTCCAACTTAGAGATTCATAGTATCGTATTAAAAATATTAAGGTTTTTAAAACTATATATGAAAATATGATGTTTTCACAGCCAAAATATTACTTGGAATTCACAATGAAATTAGCACAAATAAAGTGCCTCAAAAAGTGATTACTTAAATATGAGATTTGAAACTCAAGTATCGTAATAATAGAAACGTAAAAATACAGCATTTTCAAATCGCATGGAGAGGCATAGAAATAACTCGAAAAAATCCTTCAGGTTTACAATGAAATTGGTTCAAAGAAAGTGTATTGAAAAGTGATTGCTTAAATATGTGATTAAACTTCAAGATTCAAAATATTATTGTACTATTAAAAATATCAAGATTTTTAAAACTTTACGAAAATATGGTGTTATAACCGTTGAATTGGGGAACATTGGGGATTTATGTTAAAATTGGCAGAAATTAATCACATCAAGCATTGATAAATCAAATATGTGATTGATAACTCATGAGTCAGAATATCCTAGTAAACGTACCAGGATTTTCAAAACTGTATGGAGATAGGTCGTTGTTACTACCGAAAGAGCAATCGAAAAGTTGGCTGGATTTATGATGAAATTGATAAAAATAAAGTGAGTTTCAAATATTATTACTGAAATTCATGTATCATAATATATTAAAATTATTGGGTTTCTTTGACCCTTTCAATACGGCGAAAGATCAATCCGGGTGCTCCCCATTGCCGGGATCAGTTATTTCTCCTCCAAGCGATTATTGGATAAAATAACTTTTATGCCTAAAAGGTTGAAGGTCTTGGGGACGCATAAACGTCCCCATAACAACGCACCATCAACAACAATGATTTAGCAAACTTCATTGATGGGACAGCATATGTAACCAAAATCCGCCGTAAACCCAAAGCAGCTAAGCCCTGGGACAGGGTATGTCCCGGACAGAAATCTAGAGTCAATAACTCATTCTTATTGACATTTTACTTAATATTTTGATGATTATTTTAGGCAACGTTTTTCTTATTAACATTTTCATGTACATTTGCGTTAACATTTTTATTAGCATATTTATTTATAAACACTTTTCGGAATTAACAGCTATAAAATAAGAACGGTAAAAAGTTGAAAGTAATGGAGGAACAACAGTATCTAAAGTCTGGGTTTCTTAAGGGTGTGTTAGGGCTGGAAACAGTTCTTGCACAGTGCTACGTTGCAAGAGGTGCACACTATTTTCGAGCGTGCCTCTTTCTTCAATTTTGCGCACAATGCACATCTTCGCGTTTTTCTCTCAATTAGGAAATGGTTTCCAACATTGCAAAGTCTCGATGTTGATGATGACGATAATATAGTTTTGGAAAAAGAGGACCTTTGCTTATTGACTTCCTTGTTTGCATTTCCAAATGTCAGGAGACTTTCTGCAACAGCAACGAGGAATGGTAATAAGGAACGTCTTCGTTCAGTAACGTCTTGATGAACAGCATGGGCATTAACAATCGAAGTCATCAGTAATCTGTAGAATACTTTTTCCACCACTTGGTGGATTTTATCATCAAACAAATGCTTGTGATCAAGTGGAATGACTTCATTGTCCTCTTCGCTGCTTTCTTCGAATGTGGACTCAGTGTTTTCAGATTCAGAAGAGTCACTAATGTAAGCAAGCTACCTTTGATTGTTAGCAGGGTAAATTCTCTTTCGACCCTTCATCAGAAGGAACCTTCGAATAAGCCTTCGAATTATTTAGAAATAGTGGTGGCTTAAATCCTAATAAAATGAATTTATTAAACCACAATTCAAAATTAATAAACTAACTACCACTCGAAAATATTTATTCACTGTCTGGAGAAAGTTGGCATCTCTGCAGTTGTCGGATATGATTGACATGAGAAATTTATGGAATCAGAACGATGAGACGGCCTTAAAATCAGTTTGGCTGTCGAAGTGGGTGTTATTTTCTGTCCTAGATATTTTTCAGTAACTGGAACATATGTTGTCCCAGTCGTAATATCAAAAATTTTCGAGACTGGGACTGCACACGTCCCGTCCGGTGCGAAAGGGTTCAACCATACAGAATTTCATACTATAACTGCGGAAAAAGTGATCGAGAAATTACATAGGTTTACTATAGAATCTGTGAAAATGAAGGGTATCAAAAAGCTCAAATGTGCGATTTAAAATGTTCAATATATATTTTTAATTTTTGGTAAAAAAATTCATTGTGTTAAGCACTTCAGCAGTCGGTAGGCTGTAGATCGTACTCCCCTAAACTAAAAGCTCAAATATTAAGCATTTTTTGCCAGGAATCACCAAAATAAAAGTTAAAAACTTTTGCTCAAGAAATCGCGTATTACTGGAACCAATGATTTGCGCCTGTTTTTTTCTCTCCAAGGAATATAAAATTTCTGTGTGTAAAAGTTGTTTCAGAGGAAAAAAAATATATAAATAAATATCATTACATACATTCATGTCTGCATTAGAGCAATCATATTGAGTATAATATAATTTTGGAGGAAAGTTCTTTTGACTTATTATATTTTAAATATCTCCATCCAAACACAAAATGACCATGTTTCTAAAATTATTTTAATTTAAAAAAGTTCTTTAAGTTGGCGTCATGCATATTTATCATGGCAACCAAAAATGAAATTCAAATGATGATGAATCAAAAAGTTACTGAATTATAATAAATATGTTGCTACTTATCGGATAAATATTCTAGGGTCCATTCTACCAGCAGAAACACAAAAGCTAGCTTACACTTCAGCAGTTCGAATTTGTAACTGTACATATTTTTAATTACTGCAACTGCCAATAATGTTGTTAATGGCAATATTGGAGTAAGAATCCAAAGCTCTCTACAAAAAAATATATAAATAATCTTCCCATAGGGATAATGATAGACTTTTTTCCCTAGAGGGAGAACAAGCAAACACTGTTTAGGTTTTGTGAGCAGAGCATAAGTTGTTCTCATCCAGAAATGTTGTTCATGTGATTTGTATTTTTAATTGATTTTATTAAATTTGCTTTGTGTTCGTTAAGTTAAGTATTCAATGGCTATCAGTTTTAAGTGTTATTGCTTAAAAATTTATATTAATCAATACTCATTCTTAACAGTATATCAAAAGAGAGTTCTTGTTTTTCTTCACTTTTTTTAACTACATAAAATATTTTAAAAATTATCCAGCTTCATAAAAAATACCAACCAATTTCTTAGAATAAATCAAAATCATGAAGGGTTGTCAGCATAGATGCCAACCTAGAAATCCTATTCAAACATACACATAAGATCCCCACAGTATTTAAAATGGTGGTGAAAGGACGATTAAAGCATGCATTTGTTCAGTTTTGTTAATTCTTAAAATTTCACTGCAGAGTTATCAGATCTTTTATGAATTTGTTTATATATTGTGGTCAAAATTAGAGATGAAACAAATCTTCCACTGGTTTCAAGTGTTCAATACAAACTTTTAAATTTTGAATTCCTACTAAATTTCATTATAAGATACATTTGTACATACCTTAGAAGACAATATTTAATTTTGTAGTAATTGTTAAAAGAACATTCACAACATAAAATGTCACATAAATCAAAACATTGCCATTGGCCGTATCACAGCTTATTATTTGGCCAAGACAAAGGTTTGTGCCATCTAATTTTGACCACAATATATATGTAAGCAAATTCTTATTAGACCTGATAATCCTGCAGTGAGTTTTAAGAGTTAGCAAAACTGAATAAATTAAGCTTGCTTTAATCGTCATTTCTCCACCATTTTAAATGCTGCGAGTTCATGATTTTTATTTATTCTAAGAAATTGGTCGATATATTTTATGAAGCTGGATAATTTTTAAAATATTTGTATTGAAACCTTGAAACCAGTCAATAATTAATAATATATACTGTAACCATTTTCCAAGAAACAATAAAACAAAATACCGGGCTAGCTCTGAAATTATTTATTTATATAGTTACTAGCAGAGCACAGAAAACAGTTACAAATTACTAAAAAAAAACATATTAACAAAACGAAACTCACATAACACTAAACGGACAGATTATTTTGGAGATGTTCTCCAATCGGTTGCCGCAGTTCAACTCAAAAGTTTCGCCACAAGATGGCGTGGTGATAATTCAGTATTAAAGTAGTATAGTTCTGTTACAATACTATTTAATTTAAAAATTTCTAAGAAGGAGCTATTGCATGAAATATTCTATAAGCATTTTTAGATTGACTTAGGTATGCAACGAATAGTGATTTAGCCTAATACTGCGGCCAAATAGCAACATTATTTTTTAATAAAATAAATAATAATTAATTTTTTTATATGGAAATAAGTTTAATCACTATTAAAAAATAATCAAAACTTAGCTGTGTTATTGATATGGGGTGGTAATAAAGATATTAAGGTAATAGAAATATTTAAGATGAGAGAAAACTAACTAACAGCTATTAAAAAAAAGTTGTAAATTTAAAAAAAAGAAGTAAAAAAAAAATCAATATCTTAGTTTTTAAAACAAAATTTCAATGTTAAAAATAATTATTCATGAAATATTAAAAGATATATCTATCAGAAACGTTTTTAAAAATGCATCAGTATCATAAAAGCGCCTACAAAGATTACATACAAAAGCAAAGTAAAAATCTATTTTAATTTTTTAAAGAAAAGTTTTAAGCAAAACATTTCAGTTTTTTGATCACTGATTTTCAAGAAAAATATATAATTAAAGTCTAATGGAAACCCTCTTGATTGCGGCGTTATAATGATAACGTCTTAAAAACATAAGTTTTTTTAAAAGGAAGAAATTGTATAGAAACCAAAACAATAATATTTCTGAACTTTTAAACAAAAGATTTGATGCTACAAATTTTAATTTGACTCTTTTGGATTGTCGTATTTTTAGAAAAAAGTGACCATGAAAAAATAACGGTCATTAGAAATGAAAACTAGCAGAAAAGCAAAAATGAAACAAAAAAAGTTCTCAGTTAAAGCAAAGTGTTGAAAAAAGGATGAAATCGATTTGCCTAAATAGAATTAATAAGAGAAAAAAAAAATCAGAATTACAAAATTCATGGTTCAGTATAAAAATAATCTAGCTTCAATTTTTCAAATTTCTCTTTTCCACTTGTCTTTTTGAACATAGGTTAACAAGTTTTAGAGCTTAACAAATATGTGTAAAAACTATTTCTAATAATATATAGTAAAAAATACCATCTTAGATTATTCTCATGGGTGCAAGTCTTCCGTCCCCGGGACGGATTTCCGTCTTTCGAAAGTGTCCGCGGAACGGAAACAAGACTGACTCGAAGACGGAAATAGGAAATTTTTTTTTCTGTCCTTAAAAATATTTTTTAGGTCTACGTTATTGGTCTACTTTCTTTGTTGTTATTTTACAGGGATGAAAGACTTCCGCGGAAANGTATAATAAAATTTAAACTTATTTAAAAAATAATCTTCCAAATAATGCTTTGCTGAATATTCCTTAGGTACCTAGCTTATATCAGAAATTTTTTTCAAAGTTGGTTATTGTCACACAATAAAATGTTTTGTAGGTTAATCATTGGCATACTATAAAATTTTTTCTATATTTATCCTATTACATACAAGAATCACCTCTTTTGATCATACACAATAACCTTAAAATGTATGAAGATAAGAATTTTAAATTTTCTGTATTATTTGTTATCATTGGAGTTCAATATGCACAGCAGCTGAAGTTTTGATATAAGGCGTTTTGACCAAACTGAGCTTCTTGGCATTATTTTTTTTAAATTAAAACTGTTGTCGAGCAGCCAACCCAATTTTTGGGTTTACGGCTGCTAATGCTCAACTCCGTAGCCTTGTAATTTTGAACTCAATCCAGAAGACAAGGAAAATCCTGGATCAAATATTGGGGGAAAATTGTGGAAGGCTTTTTGATGGAACTAACCCGCATTTGCATGGAGAAGACCACGAGAACCCCCCACGGCACAACAAAGGGATTCTAACCCATGATCCGTCTATCACTGAGGATATTTCACATCAGCACTGTGGTCGGTAGAAGCCGTATGCGGATTCGTATCGATCAGCCATTGTTAGTATTTGAACCTGGTTCGCCTCATTGGAAGGTGAACGCTTTATTCCTCGAGCCATCACGGCTCTCTTGGCATCATTAGTTGAAATCATTGTATATCAAATTTCTTAAAGCACAAAACCACATTCAATAAAAATTCTCCCATTAAAATGTGAGCATGCATAGGCGCCAGTCATTTTATGTAGGATTTCAATTGTAGCAGATAACTTCATATTAGAGGGAAAATGAGAAATTTAATTGACCCTTCTAAAGAAAAAATATTCGTTTGTTATTTTGTGGATGTACAAGTTTTTTTCGCAGACCATTGTGTGTGTGTGTGTACTAGACTGATTTTTGATAGTTTTATTATCTGCTTTGCTCTTTCTGACTTTAATAATTGATCAAAATTCATTTAAATATTAATTTACTATTTATTAATCTTTCAAAAAGGAAGTCATTATAAACAACATCAGACATGGGGTTTCTGGAAGAAATGATCTAAATTGTTTCTTNTGTCTGACTTTAATTATTGATCAAAATTCATTTAAATATTAATTTACTATTTATTAATCTTTCAAAAAGGAAGTCATTATAAACAACATCAGACATGGGGTTTCTGGAAGAAATGATCTAAATTGTTTCTTCTCCATATTTTATACTTAATTTTGTCTTTTGTACATAGAAGATAATTAAAAGTGTCTCGTTTTTGTGCACAAAAGTAACATTTATAAAATTTATAGAGAGAAAGTAGTAATTTTTTCTCCTTAACACATAAAAACTAATATATTGTGAAAACAAACTGCATATTTCTCTTTTTTTTCACATTTTGCAAATTGTCGTTGCAGAAAAAAAGGGATTTTAAAAACAGTGAAATTCACGGCAATAACTGAAAAGAGATAAATGATAAAACTAAGTGTATTTTCAACGAAATCACATGAATCAGACTCGTCAAAATGGAGTTAATTAAATGAACGTTTCGAGATTCACGCGTTGTAATATATAAACTAGTATTAAAAACATCAAGATTTTTAAAAATATGCGAAAATTTGTTGAGATAACTGCCGCAAAAATTTTAATAAAGAAAACGATAGAATTATCGCGTCAGATAGTGAATACTCAAGTGCGGAATTTGAATTTCTCATATTATAATAATATCGGAATTTTAAAAAAATCAGAAAAATCAATAGCAATAATTGCAACAAAAAAAACGAAACATATCGAAGCGTCCTATGGATTTTGACCAGATCAAACGTGGCAAAAATTTCTTTCGCAAATGTGTGATTCAAATTTCTCGTTTCTTAATTATATAATAGAAAATATCTTTATTAAAAAAAAAAAATTGTGCCTATATGTATGATATCACTGTGAAAAGAATCGATCGAAAAAATAGTGGTATCTCCGCGTTCAAAGTGACTAGTCAAATTTAGTGTGTCATAATAATAATGTATGAAAAAAAACATTGGGCAAATTGGTATAAAAAATAACCGATAAAGCACACCACATGGATTTACGATAGTATCGAGCACATTAAAAGTTATTACTCCAATGCATGATTCTAATTTTTCGAACCGTAATAATATTGGCATTTAAAAAACTTTTAGTATATCAATTGCATTCATTAACTGCCAAAAGAAAAAGATCGAAACACGGATTCACAATGGTATCGAGTGCATTGAAATGAGCGATTTCAAATTTCTGTTTCGTAATATATTAAAAATTAATTCCATCTAATTGAAGACTAGTACAAAAATATGATACATTGATTGAATAATTCTTTTATTATATATTGGAATTTGCAACAAAATTGCTAATCATTAAACAATTTTTTTTTCGTTTTATAATTCATTAAAATATGAAGAAGAAAAAATTGCTGAACAATCTTCTATGCGTTTTGCCAATTCAGATTTACTTTTTAGATTATCAATTTTATACTTTTGTTTATCAATTCTCTAGCGCAATGTTTCCCAAACTTATGACTTTTGTGTACCCTTTCAAAATTTTTCGTAACGCTATGTACCACTCATAAAAAAATATATGTATTTTTTTAAAAATATGATAATTTTTCTTTTTTGGTACAAAGTTTTGTTAATAAGTTTATTTGCATCAGTGAGAAGGATGATATTGTTTTTGCTATGATAACAGCTGATCATAATTCGGTTCTCTTGTGGTCAATTTTAGTCTGATTCCAGGTCCAATAATCTATTTCTTTTTTTTTTTTTTCGACTAAATGTTCACGAATGCTGAAAAAGCGACTTGAAATTGTCGAACTCGAAAGCGAATATGAAGTTGGAAAAGCTCTGTGAAAAGCGAATATGAAGTTAGAAAAGCTCTGTGAAAAACGAATATGAAGTTAGAAAAGGCAAAATATATTTCACAACTTTTTCTGTTAAGACTGGATACATATTTTGCATTTGCAGCCAGAATGATGTTGAAATATCCTCCTCATGTTTATTTTTCCAAGAAGGATAAAAATTATATTTTACAAAAATAATCAAAATAAGTAGAATTTATTACAAACCTTTACTGTAAAAAAATTGCACAAAAGCTAAGAATCACAACTGGCTGTTGACACCACTAATTATTAACACCACTTGTTGACACCACTGCAAAAAATAGCCAATAGGAAAATACGTAATCGTAAATTTTTATGGCTAGCTTTGTTTTCAAATAAAATGTTTTGAAATGTTCGTTTGTTGCAAGATATTTCGCATAAGAACGCGTACCCCAGCTAAACTGTTCCCGTACCCCTAGGGGTACACGTACCACACTTTGGGAAACACTGCTCTAGCGGAAGTTATTATAAATATTATTTTTAGTCTTGTTTTCTTGAAGTCTAATAAAGTAATTATCGCGCATGAATGAGGGTGCTGGTAAGGGCAGTATAAATGGTTTGTTGACGAGATTTTGCGTAAGTAACAAGGTTTAAATTTTACATTTGCAGAACTCCGAGAAAATTTTGTCAGAATCTAAATTATTGATTCTCAGAAGTCCGCCATCTTGAGATAAGCAGAATTCCTGTCATATTAAACTTTTCTATATTTGATGATTAATTAATTCTGGTTATTAATTGTTGAATATTTCTTTTAACAGATTCATTGGTACAACGAAGGTGGTGTGGATCCTAAATTTAGAGTGCTAATCTATTTTAATACTGTGCTTATAATTTTATTCTGCATTTGTGCTAACTGTTATTATCATTCATAGATGAAATAATTGCCTCTAAACACTCATTTCATGGGTGTACCATACTGTTATTTGACAAGCATGAACTTTTTTTTTTCATTGAATGTTTATGGAACATTGGTTAAATTAATGTTTTCTCTTCTCTCTCTCGCTGGATTGTTTATGTCTTTTTTTTTTACCTTTTTCAGATAGTGAATTATTGTTGTTAAGACTTTTCTGAAATTCTGTTGGTATTTAAATAATGTAATGGCATTTTAATAAGGGATTTTATTTTTTTAACATTGTTTTTAATCAAATCCTTAAGCAAAAGATTTTATCATTGAATACTAAAATAAAATTAAAAGAAATATTTTATCAAGATTTTTTTAATAAGTAATAATAATTTGTGTTTCCTTTTTACTTGTGTATAGGCAGTGTTTAAAATGTGTAAATATTTTCTTTAGGCAAAGAAGGCGATTTTATTTATTTTTTAATTCGTATTTATTTCTTTTGTATATTAGTAAAATTAAATCATTTTTAAGACATATTTATAAAATATTCATTTTTGGAAATGTCCATTAAAGTTTTTTTTATCATTATTTCAATCTTATTTATGATCTTTTGTATTGCCCTTTATTTAATACATTGCTTTAATATAAAGTTTTTTAATCTTATAACATGAATTTTTCTTAAAACTGCAGTGCTTTTTTCAATCTTTTATTCATTTACCAAAAAATTATTTTAATGCTGAAGTTTCAAAATAGTCATTTCCCTTCTATTAATCAGTAAACAGCCTCTATCTTTCATGTGCTTAAGATAGTAGTGTTGTGGCTTAGATTTTTGGTAATTTTTCTTCACATATCCTGAAAATGATATTTAATCAGAACAAAGATTATTATGTGTAACCTATTTCAGAAGTAAGAATTTGTTTTCAATGGTAAAGTTAAGAAAAAGAGATTTATACACATCAGTATTATAATTCTTCCACTCTCAAAAAAAGTGACTTACTTTTACAAAATTATCAGACAATAATATTTTTACTTATGACATTTTGAATTAAAACTATATAAGGAAATTTTTTTAAAGTGTGTTCCAGTCAATTCATTCCAGAAAATGATATGGGCTACAATTTTATACATTTGAGACTGAATTATAAGAAATATTTTATGATAATCATTCTTGTATATTGCTTTATTAGTATTTTTATAGAGTTATTGTGTATGTGATATTTTAACTATGACTGAAAGTGTACATTTTTGTCTTTTATAAATAAAAGTGCATAAATAATACTCTTAAGTATTGATGAAACTTTTAGATGTTTTTTTATTAGACAAAACAATATTTTTATGAATGGTTTTCAATTTATTTATAGATAAAAGCAATAACAAATTTTCCACATATGTAAGCTTTTATTTTAAAAAAATTTTTTAACTCAATATGCTATCTTATGAATAAAAACATTTAAAAAAAAAAAAGAGAGAGAGATGAAACACTTTGAATAATTTTTGTTCTTATGATCCTCATGTGTTAAGATGTAATCTTAGTGGTTTGAAGAGGATCTTAAATATGTTAATTAGTGCAAGTGATAATTCAAGCAGACACAATGTTCTTTTCCTGAAAAATATATATCTTTCCTTTTTCAAATTTTTATGTTGAGGATGTTGGAAAGAAACCACATCATCAAAAATTTTCTATTGCACACTTTACAAAATGTATAAAATTGATAAAACCATAAATATTGAAGTCATTTGGAGATTTCATTGTGATTAACACCCATGTCCTGAAACTTTAAAGCACCCCTTTAAAATGTCAATTTGAAGTTTCACTAAAAGTTTTTTTGTATGCGTTATTTTTTCTAAAACAAGTCTTTTTTTTTATATTAAGCAAAACATTGGAAGATTAACTAAGAAAGAGCAAATAATGGAGTTGAATGATGAGAAATTCTCCTGAAGATTCCAATGAGGTCTATATGTTTTGTGCAAAAGTTTTTTAAACTTGGTAAATAATATGAATTTCTGGGAGAAGACTTAATAAACCTCCCTTTTGGAGACCACATTATTTTTTTCTATTATTTTGGATAACCTCCTTTTTTTCTGTTATTATAATAATAATTATTATTATATTTTGAAAACTACTATCTTTAAGATTGGTCTCCTGGTCTTCTTTTAGCATAGCAAACAGGAAATTAGAATTCGCTCTAATAATCCAATTTTTTTCAAAATTCGAAAAAAAATTCATTAGTTATCTTTTTTATTAAAAAAAAAACTCGTTTTAATAAGGATAGAATCTTTACCTTTGACTGTCAGATCATGGTGAATCATTTTTAACGAAAAAAAGAAATAATAGTAACTCTGATAATTATTTATTGTTTAGTATAAATGAATGGCATTTTGTGTCATTCTTAAATTACAGAGCTCTGTCACATTTTATTTCTTAAATAATAATACAACTTATTGATTATTTCAAAAATTTGATCCAAAAACTTGATAGATTTATGATTGCAAAATATATTGAATCTATTCTAAAATTTATTAAGAATTGGGTAGATTCAAGATATCATTCACTAAACTATATTTTTAAGAAAAGTTGTTTGTGCTTAAAAGTTTTAAAAATATATCAAAGCAAAACTTAGTATAATAATAAAATGATTGATAATCGCAAAATTTGATATTGAGAGATCGTCCACTAACATTGCACAAAATAATTTCAAGCATTGTTACTGAATTTGTTGGTCAGTCTTTTGAACCACTCAAAGAATTTCACTATTACAAATTCATTCCTATAAATCCTATATATTTTTTATAAACGTCCTATATTTCCAAAATAGAGTAGTCATATGAATCCTATTTTTTCCTTCACAGTGCAATGATTTTAGGTCCCATAATACTTAAAGAATCTAAATCATAAGACAGTCATCTATCTGTGTTTGTCTGTCTTATATTTTTTTTCTCCATAATTCATAAAAGAATGATCACGATGTCGCTAATGATGTATATGCTAAATACAAAGCGCTAAAGACTTCTGAGGAAAAAGAACAGGCAACCATCAGGGCTGTAAATACACCAGGAGCCCGACGGTCAAGAATGAAGGGTCCACATCTCATTATATTAAATTAATTTATTATAGGAAAGATATTTTGTAAAGATAAAATTTCAGAAAATTTTTCTTTTTTGTAATGGCATATCTATTTTAACACAATGGAAAACATAAAGGAGAGGGAGAAAAAAACAGTAAAAACTCATTTTTCCCAGAATTATTTCCTTCCCTCAAAAAAACAAAAACACTTCTCAGAGAGGGGAGAAGGCTGCAACTGCATGTAGTTGATTGTTAAAACATTTTGTACCTTGTACTTCTGTCTGACATACTTGTTTCATCTAACTACTATCTAGTCAGACAATCTAATGTGCCAATGGGGGGGGGCAGAGGGTGCAGCCACATAAATACTTAACAAAATCTAAGTGAGGGGGTGAACAATGTGTTTTGCCCTTCTTGAAATTTAGACAATTGCAAAAATAAAGTCAAATAAAATTAGTTTATTTCAGAAAGGAAAATTTTTTTTTTATAAACTTTAAAGCTATATACGAAATTTTTCTCTTAATTTAAAGTGAAGGGATGAAAGATTTTTTTTTAAGCTATTTCTCAAATAGAAAACTTTATGTTCCTCTAAAATTTAAGTGTGTGGGTGAATAATGTGCTTCGCCCCTTTTGATATTTAGACATAGGCCAAGACAAAGTCAAGTAAAACTGGTAGTTTTCGAGAAAAAAAAGCTATTCTTTCTCTACTTTGAAGCTATACACCAAATTGGAAACTTGATTTTGTTCTCAAATTAAATTGAAGGGCGAATAGATATTATGTTAAATAAAACCCAATGTTTCAACGAAATCGGATAAATCCTTCTGTGAAATAAAAATATGACTTTATTTTTTATGGACCATTCAACGGGTTTGATTAGGATCAAATTTTGTATGTTGCTATTGCATAACAGGACATGAAATCATTCAAAATGTTTTCGAACATTAATAAATTAAAATTATTAAATATTTTTGTACACAAAATTTAAGTTGTAGAATCAGACGCAAAATCGTACTTCTTGAGAATTAACACAGCTTTTTTGTGAAAGATTTTGAAACCAGACCCTTAAATTATGGTGATAGCCGCTCTATTTAAAATATGGCCCCACTAGTTAAATCAGAAAAGTGTCAAACATTTTCAACCCTCTTATTCGTTTTTTGCTTCTTCAGCTTATCTCTGTGAATATTTAAGCAAATCAAACAATTTTTGCTCATAATTATGAAACGTTTATTCAATGTAAAAATTTTATTTTAAGTACCATTTGATTTAATGAAAGTCTAAAAATTTTAAATGCCGCTATGTAAAATAAGAATGAAATCATAGTTTTTGAGTCACATTTTTAGATTTTCATTTCTCTGATTCCGTTTGAATTTTAAATTTGTCATTTAAAATTGTATTTATAAAAATGTGTATGGCTTACAATGTTTTTTCTACCATTCTTAAATTTATTATTTAAAAAATAATTGTAAAAAACTATTTTTTTAGCGTGAAATTATCATTCGAAGGACAACTTTCATAACTGTGCTAAAAAAAAAAAATTTCTGAAATAGATTTAGAGTTAAAGCGAACATAGAAATTAACCATCATTGAACAGCCAATCCAATTTTGAGTTTACGATTACCAATGTTCAAGTTCGAGACCTTGCAATTTTGAACTTAATCCCGAAGACAAGGGAACTCCTGGAACAAGTCTTGGGAGAAATTTGCCCTGTAGGGCTTTTTTCACTCCGTATTTGCTAACTTACCCGCATTTGCGTTACGAGCAGATGAAAACCACGGCAACCACACACGGTTAGCCTGAAGGCAAGGGGATACTAACCCATAATCCGTCTACCACTGAGGATATTTAGCGTCCGCCGTATTGACATGCCATCGCTGGGATTTGAACCTGGGTTATCTCATTTTGAGGGGAGAGCTTTATCCCCTGAGCCACTGCGGCTCTCACTGAATAATTAACATTTTTAAAATTAGATCGTCAAACCATTAAGAGTGCATCTTAGTACGTTACTTCGATGCAGGGGCGTACCCAAGGGGGGGGGGGGTTAGGTATTTAAACACCCCCTTGAGCTCAGACAAGGTGAATTTACAAAATAATACAGACAAAAATAAAAATTTTAGTAGAAATTATGCTGGCTATTATTTTTTACTTGCCTTATGCCTACTTTTTTTTCTCACGTTATTTCTCAGAATACTGAAAAAAAATTTACTATAATAGGGTTGTACTTTTGAAACCAAATTCACGTGATACTGTTACGGGCGAGCCCCGATAGCTGGTTCCTTTCTGTCCTGCCAGTCGCGATAGTTTTCGAGACTGGCTGGGATTCGCGAGGTCTGGAATCCTAGACGTTATGTCGTCTTTGAGACAATTCGAGAATTTTGTAGATGCGGTAAAAAAAAAAATTATATGAAAGGGGGAACGGAGTACAGAGTTAGTTAGTCAGACTAAGAATTATCTCTGCCGCTTGTAGCTCGTCGCTAAATCTGTTAAGTTTTGGAGATACTGTGCTCGTTGAAATGCTGTCTTGTAGGTCTTGCCCAAAAGTTTCTCCCCTACCTGAATGATTGATGGAGTGGGCGGAAGATCTCTATTGAAAAAGAACCCCTTCTCCTGCAGATCATTACTCGCCAAATCTTTATGATGCCAAAGACGATAAAGGGTTTCAAATGGAAAACCGATTTACCTCGCTTTTAAGCGTCATAGTTGATTAATTCTTCCTTTAGTTGGAGAGTGAAACTTGCGGAATTTTTCTGAGGCGCAAGGGATTTTTAGGAGAAAAGCTTTCTTATTCACCTCGTATACTCGTATGAGAGGGGATAAATCAGTAAAA